TCGCCTCGATCTGGTCATAGTATGACATCTGTAGGAAAGTCGATCGTTGTAGTTGGGGGCGAGCCGAGTTCGACTCCAACTCAGGTCAGCGATCTCTCGATTGTATATGTTTTAGACACCACCAAAATCCGGTATCCCAACGATGCGCAAATACAGTCTACCACCCAGAAGATTCAGCAAAGGCGTCCAAGCGGTAGCGACGTCCCCGGAGTCAGACAGACACCATCTCGCGAGGGCTCTATTGGATCAGATTCGAAACGAGTAGCGAGCCCTAACAGCCCAACAAATAGCTCCGGAAAGATCGGCACCGGCATCGACATGACTGGGCCCCCGCCTGTCAGTAATGGGTTATCGAAGCTTCCAAGAGCTGCAGGCACCTCTACTCCTTCAGGCCCTCCACCTCCGGGTCAAGCTCCTCGACCAAGTATTGAAGGAAACGCGAACGGCCGCCGCCCTAGAAATGCATCTATCGAAAGAATAGAGAGGGAAACTGCGGGTACCGGTTCACCTGGTATCAGCAGTCAAAGCCAGTCCCCCATACCAAGAGAACTGGTAAGAGAAGAAATTCCAGTCGTGAATGGGAGGCGAACACCGAGTCAGCAAGCCCTTAGGAGTGGTTCGCGGTCAGAAAATCAAATAGAAGAGAAGTCGAAGTCAAGGATGTCGTCGCGTCAGGCCCGGAGTCAAGGGTCCGTAGACAGCAGCACGGAGCCAACACTTAAAACTGTGGCTAACCGCCCGTCTTCTCCACCTCCACCGACCCGGCAACCAAGTAATCCTTTGTCACGAAGAACTTCGAATAGAAATTCTCAGACCGTTGTTCTGCTAAAAGAACTTGACATCGCCCGCAATCGGACCGCATGGTACGCATCTGAGCTGGAGTTAGCCCGCAAAGCTGGATATGTACCAAACGCAACTCTTAGTCCTACCCTCGAATCTCGAGCCGCGGACACATTCGATGATGATGATAAGCGGCTCATTGAATCGCTCTTAGCTATGAAACAGGAGCTGGCTAACGTCCAAACCTCCATCGATAAGCAAGCGATCCTTGCAGCAAAACAAATTGCTGAGGTAGAACGACAGCGTGATGCTGCCGTCCGTGAAGCAGTTTATGCCAAGGCAAAAATAGCAGCGCAAAGCGGAAGCGCAGCTAGTACGCCGCAACTGGACGGCGAGAGAGATGTTGATAGTAGCGATCGTTCTTCAGAGCTAAATAGGAAACTCGCATCAGCACTAAACATCCAAAAAGAGTTGCAGAACAATATCACAAAAGCCACTTCAGACCTCGAGGCGGAAAGACGAGCGCGACAGCTCGCAGATGAGACCTTAAGCGCTACTCAGAAGCGTATAGCTGAATTGGAAGCGTACAAGCAGCAAACATCTTCAGAGCTTGAACAGCTAAGGGCAGAGTTGCACATGGTCCAACGTGAGGCGCGAGAGCAATCAGTTGCCAGTGCTGAAGCGATTGCTGCTATGCAACTTCTGCGCATCGAGAAGGATGAATACGAAAGCAAATATAACGAAGCTAGCAATAGCTCCCAAGAGTATAGTGAGACCTTAGAGTCTCTTCGAGAAGCTGTGGTAGCATCTGCAGATATGCGTGCTCACCTTGAGCGGAAGCTCGATGAGGAACGGGCTCAGCGAGAAGCAATCGAATCCAAACTCACCAAGCTTAAGGCAGAGCATGAAGCACATGCTGCTGAGCTGGAGACCGTAACGCAGAGGCTGCGAGATGCAGAGGAACTCGCGGAGCGGCATGCAGCTGAAGCAAATGCACATCGGCAAGCCTTGATTTCCGGACTAGAAAAGGTTGCCAAGGATCCCAGCAAAGGAAGCCGAGCTGACGCTGAACGTATTGTGGTGCTTCAAGGTCAAGTTGAGGCGGCAAACAATCTTGTCAAGAAATACCGGGAGGAGGCAGACGCTGCTTCGGATAAGCTCCGAAGCGCTGAGGAACGAATCGCGGGACTTGAAGCATACCAGGAACAATCCAGCAGGGAAGGCGTATCAATTCGTCGGCAACTGCAATCTGCCTTGAGGGAAACACAATCGCTTCAGGCTTTGAACTCCGATCTCAAGAACCAGCTTGCTAACCAGCAGCTCGAGACCAACGCCATAACAGTTCAGCATAATACCCTGAAAGATATTCTGGCTGAAAGGGGCATTAGCCCGACCAATCTTGCTCGAGTGCGAGAGATGGGTTCTAGAACTGGCTCGCCTAACCCTTCTCGCACCAACGATCTTGAACGGCAGCTTGCGCAAGCAGTTGCTGCTCACGAGGAGACAAAGCAGACTTTTGCCGCCCAAATTCAAGAATCCGAGGCTACTTATCGTAACAGAATAGTCCAGTTAGAGAACGACTACCAGTCCGCCGTCCACTATGTTAAGGGCACAGAGAAGATGCTTAAGAAGATGAAGCAAGAGCTTGCCCAAGTTCAATCTGAGAACAACCGTCTGAAGAACGAAAATATCGAGCTAGAGGAACGTTCCGGCCTCCATGACAATGCCACGCCTGCGGACTGGGAAGCTGAGCGCTCGGAGCTAGAGGATAAGATAGAGGGACTCCAGGAACAAGTCAAGTCTACTTCTGCACAACTTGAACAAGAACTCATGGAATTGCGGAAGAAGCTAGATGCTACCAATCAAGAGCGTGACAGCACAGCCAAATCCCATAATGACGTTGCAGAGCAACTAACCATCCGAGAGAAGGAGCTCGAGCAAATGCAGCAGGAGAATGCCCTCCTAGAGAAGCGAGTGCAGGATGCTGAACAAAAAGTCAGTCTACTACTCGACCAGGTAGAAAATTCAGTTGATAATTATCGGAGACGCAGTCGAATAAGCACCGATCAAATGAATATCGGCGCTCCTAATCCGAACGGCGGCTTGGGTCATGCTCGGCAAGAGAGTTCAGAGGCGGGAAGCTCCTACGGCGGCGCTGGCGGCGTTGGCGGTGTTGGCGATAATAGAAACAGCACTGCTCTCGACGATTTAGCTAACGAACTTGATATGTTACGGTCCCACTGGGAGGCGACAAACAAGAACTATCGACTTTCAGCCAACTTCGACTTTGAAGGACTTGGAACCAAAAAAGAGAGCGAGGCTGTCGGTCTCAGCGAGAGCTTAGCTGACTGGAGGAAGCGGCTCGACGCGGAGGAGCGCGCGACCGACAATATAGGGGCCGCCCAGGGCAATCATGCCTCGTAAACACCTTGGTCTTCGAAAACCCAACCGCGAAATTCCTAGGGAAACATGCTGATCGCCAGCCTTGTCAATCTCCTAATAAATAATACCCTTGTACAGCACCTACGATGTGTATCAGAACACATTCGTTTTTTACGATTCATCACTTCCTATTTCGATTCGGTTCGGTTCGGTTCTTATACTTTGAGCTCGGGACAGCATGTCTTTTGCGCTATATCAGCATATCGACTCGTAGGCTTACCTACTAGCGTTCTTTTGAGTCTCCAGGACGACGATCTTGTTTTCATCCCTCAGCCCCCCCCCTTTTTTTCTCTAAATGTGGTTTCCTGCGCTGAAGACGGAATGAACTGTAACCCCCACGCAAACTCTCCAATCCGTCGTCATTTGGAGACCTTGTTCCGAAGATATGACCGATTGCGATGCCCCATGGAGTTGATTTGGTTCAGGAATGTCATAAGTTTTCTGTTGTTATTTGGTTGTTGTTTTTTTTGAGAAATACGCAGATTTTCATGGGATGCTGTGGTGAACGCGCAGGATGACTAGGGAGGGCGATAGCCCTTCCTAACGTTAATGTACATTATCGCTACTACAACTGCTGCTGGAATAGTGTCAAGGAGGCGATCAGGTGGAGGAAGTGATACCTAGAGGAGAGAGGCGGCGACATACATGCCGCTGGATTTGGACGCTTCATCCGCGTTGTGGTTAAAATGTAGTGATTGCGATGTGGGAGTAGTTCAATATTGATGAATCATTCGGCTTGAATTAATAAGTTAATAATCATAGTGACTAGAAATATCCAGCATATGTCTAGTAAACTTTCTCAGTCTACCCGTCTTCTCATTCACCATACACATATATTTATCATATATCGCTAACCTAAGTACGTCTGATCTTAGGTGCCAAAAGCACGACTACCGCATTACGATTAAAATATTTTTCATTTAATGTTTTCAACCGAAAGAGTTGCTAATATCTATACATGGGACGTAGTGCTAGTTAAACGGAAACCCTAAGCAATACGCTGCTGTATTTTCTAACATGTAAACGAGTATGGCATTTCATAAGCTTCCAGCTAGAATATGTGTCGTTAATACTATTAGACGGAGCAGAACCACCTCGTACCATCAGGGACTAGTCGTCTTACGATTTGCTCCCCCTCTCCCCCTTTGCATGGCGACAGCGTCACTCGTTTCACGCGCCAGCTTCACATTAAGCTGTATTCCGTATTAGGTGTGTACCTATATAGTCGAGTTGATCTGGACAAACTACTTCGTAAGCACGATAGACTAAATAGCAATTGAGTAGCTTCAATTCTTGACATATAATATTTCCATATCTACTAGGTAGGTTAATAATAATCTTTTTGCGTTCTTGTAGAAAAACATTAGGTAGGTATAGTTATATGTAAATATGTATAACTAACAGGTAATCCGTGCCTCTATTCATGCTGGGGTCCGTCTCGCCCTGATGAAACTTGGTTCATCCCCGTTGTTCTCCAACGCAATTCGTCGCAGATTTAGATGCGGAGCCAGGGTTTTTATTAGGGATACAGTGTTATTGTCGACAGTTGGAAGCCAATACACTGTAATGCATTCCCTCCTTTCCCTCCTATCCCCTTCATTTGAAGGGATCCAATGGTAACAAGCACAGTACCCGCGGCACTGTAACTGGATCTGGATCTGGAACTGGAACGTTAGGTCTTAGGTCTTAGGTCTTAGGTCCTAGGTCCTCGGCGTGGCTTGTTGGAAGGGAACATGGATCATATGATGGATTTAGGTATTAGGTATTCCTCCTCCCTCCCTTGTGTCCTCTGCTATCGCGAAGTTGCCAATTCCAGCCGGGTTTCTCTTCCGCACATCACTTCCACAAATTCTCTTCTCGCTCTTTAAAGGTTCTGATTTTGATAATCGACGTTGCGATCTGGTCATCGCTCACCCACAATCGTTACTTTTACAACCAACTATCGTATACCTTGTTTAATTCGGAAGCCCGCGACACGAGATTAATAAACCCACAGAACCCACACCCCGTACCTTCGCTCGGACGGACAGACGAACCCGCTGAACAAAAGGGCTAACCTAGCTGGTCTGTCTATCTTAACCATCGTCAATCTACCACTTTTGCGATCCTGTACATACCATACATACTATACATACCATATATACCTACATACATACACACCTAGATCGACAATAAACCGCTCCCCCCCAAACAATCATCCAAGATGAAGACCGCATTCGCCACAACGCTCCTCGCCGCGCTCTGCGCAACCCTCGTCAGTGCCGGCGTAGTCATCACCCCTATCTTCCAGAACCAGGTCGTGCCTCAGGCGAGCAACGACTGCTTCTTCGGCCGCACGACTCCTTTCGGCTGCGGGTAAGCAACTTTTCTCTCTCTCTCTCTCTCCTCCATCCTGCACCATTAGACCTAGGGGTGAGAAAAAAAAATAGATAGATTTCAGCTGACCGTAACCCTTTGCAGCCCCCTCCGCTCGTAACGAGTCTTGAACGAGAGGCCCGTTGGAATAGATCTGGCTCCGAGGAGCGAACGAGGGAAGCGCCGGCGTTGGGTAAATAGATAGATCTGGAAGTTCGAAAGAGATTACTTCGGTCGCTTGGATACAGTCAAATTAACGGTTACATGGAGAAGGTGGCGAGGGAATACTTGTGGTTGTGAAATTCAGTAATGAATGAATGTGTGGCATTGTGTTCAAGCTCAAGTTTGGGGTTGTTTATTGATTTTCGTCGTTAAACCCGGGAAATACAAAATTTACTTCGCAATTTGTAAATGGTTCTGATCTACATCCATGGCAAATGTCTAGACGGTGCTTCTAGTCAAAGAATGCTAGGATATATAGAAACACTTCGCATGGCCCTTTAACACAAACACATCTTGCCGTCCATATGTACGTACGTACATAATGCGACAAGTCTTCAGCAAACAGGTGTTGCTAGGTAATATAATAAATAATTGCGAATATAAAATTATATGGTATCACATGTTCTATATCTCCTATAATATCGGCTGCCGTCGACATTTACTTAGCGGTGGTATATGACAACATATAATTACAATCGACATCTAAAATCAGCGCCTATATGCTCCCTACGTCCCTTCTTACGCACATCCCCATCTACTAGCAGAATAAAACAAGAAAGGAGGCTTAGCACTTGAGGCTGTACTTGGGCGTCCGGTCGTCGGTCATGGCACCCCACGAGGTCTCGTCAGCAACGGAGCCATCCTCGCCAATAGCCTTGGGCTTCCAGGCCTCGTCGAAGGCCTCGAAGAAGAAGACGTTGAATCCCCAGTCGACCATACCGCAGACGGCCTGGCTGTAGAAGGTCGAGGCAGGCTTGACACCGGGCTGCGCGTTCTGGTACTTGTCACCGCCGGTAGGCCAGCCCGTCTCGCCAACCCAGAGTTCGATCTTGTCGGTGCCGCCGGCCTTCTCCTGGATGTGGCCGAACGCCTGGAAGATATCGTCGTAGAAGGAGCCTGTCGCGTTCGACAGCACCTGGCCCTGCCAGTACGAGAAGGCGTTGCATAGCATAATGTCCACGCTACCGGATTCCGCGAGGGCGTCGGCCGTGCCATCTGCGTACTTGTTCCACGAGTCGGCCGTGCCGATCTTGAAGCCGCTTCCAACGGCCGACTTGACGTCCTGGATCTTGGACACAAGCTCCGGGCCCGTCAAGTTGCCACGGTACATGGCTTCCGAGCCTACGGTAATGGCGTATACCTGGTCCTTGTACTTTGGCGCGAACTCGACGACGGCTGCCTTGTCGGCCTTGAAGGATTCATCTGTGTCGGGCCTAATTGATGTCACCGTTAGTAACTGTATCCCCCATTCTCGCAAATTGGCTTGAGGTCTATTTTCAGACTACAGCAAATACAAAGGCGTTAATAAAACGGCACGTTACTAACCAGATACCCAGGACAACCTTGAATCCAGCCGTCTTAGCAGCAGGCAGGATCAGCTTCGCGACATCGCAGTCGGAAGCAGCGTAGATACGAACGACTTTGGCGTTCGTCTCCTTTGTCAGAGCGGCGAAGTCAGCCGCGTAGTCGCTCGATTCCTTACAACTGCCATCGGCCTTCTTGTTGCCCAACGCAAATCCTAGTTGTCCTGCGGCCGACGCCACGATTGGGCCAGTGGCCACGGCTGCCGAGAGAATGGTCGAGAAACGCATGGTGCTGAATGTAGTATTTCCAAATCAAATCGATTCGCTCGAACGCGTAGATTCTTTCAAAGGGGTATATCGGTATCTCCTATTCGTTCGGAAAGCAGGCGGTGAGTAGGTAAGTAGATAAGTAGCAATGCTAACTTGAAAAAAAGGAGCGAAATGCCGGGCCAACGCGAAAACAAGAAAGAGCGTGAGACTACAGCTAACCGGCGGGGGGAAGGGCAAATAAAGCAGAAAAGAGAATGACGAATTGGTGGTTGGTAGTTGTGGTGATAAGAAAATAGAAGAGAACTTGAATGTCACGACTGCTTCGATTCTCGTAGCTGAAATTGGATGTTTCGAGCAGGGGTCGCCGTAATAAAAAAAGGGGTACCTACCTAGGTACGTATCTCCTGCGCTAAAAGTCTTAGCTGCATCAATCCCCACATTCCCAATTCCACATGGAAATAGGTACATCTGCAAGGTATCATACCTGCTTATATAATATCCTTACCTAGGTAGTTATATAATAATATCACCAGTTACTCAATACTAAGTTACATAGTAGTAGAGTCTCATAGTAGTATCCTTAAGTCCTATACAAAATTTTATAAGAGGAGTTACCCAAAAACAACCAGCAAGTCATCAAGGCCATGTCAAGTCGCATATCGTGATCAGTTATACTTATAAAAAAGCAACAGGAAAGAAAAAAGTAGGCAGTTATATGTTTGTTGCTTCTCTACCTTCATAGTATGTAAAGAAAAGTAGTAGTTTAGTCTTATTATGTAGAACAGAGCTACACGAGTGATCATGATATATCCCTTCCAATAAATATCCTGAAGAAGTCGCCTATCTCTAAGATGAGTATAAGTAAAGCCGCTCGAACCATCTCTCTTTTCTCTTCTAATTACATGCAATCTTCAAGTCCCGTTCCCTCATCCATCTATCAATACCCATCACTCATTCTCCATCATTCATTGGCCATCCCTCTTCATTATCTCTTGCCTCGACTTCATACATGACTTTGTCCATCACACCTCTACACCCCAAGTTTGATATTCGACTTCAGTCCAGCGTGTATAACTTGGGCAACGCGACGAGATCTTGCGATTCCCTGCCTATGTTGCCCCCACGATTATCATCATAAGTCGATGTCAACAACCCCTCTGAGCGATGCCCCCAGTAACCCACTTCAAGGTAGGCAATGCTACTAAATGAAGACCAACCCAGCATCTCCAGAACCCACAAGTATCCCCCGGCCCTCTGTTTCGACGTCGACGACCCCTCGAGCGACAACCTTGTCCCACGACCCTCGCCTTCTCACTTGCTGCTAAGCAACATGTAATCAGGTGGGTACTACAATGATGGCAAAACAACGGGCACGAGCTTTATAGCGATGAATGCCCTTGTTACGAACTGGGTATTCCTACAAGACGTTAACCTTTTAGTTGACGCATCATGGCTTTATAGGTCCCCCTCGGTCGATATTCGGATGGCGCTCGAGCACGACTATACCCCCACGAAAACCTTACGTACGGCGAACCCTTCCCTACAAATCTACAAAGTTCTGTTGGTGTACTAGCGGCGGGCGTATAGCGATGTCAAAAGGGGGGCTAGCTACCTAGTAATCTAGACGCGGGAGACAGACGGCGCTGCTGAGGTTTAATGTTGGATGTTGGGAATAATACTGCACAGTTGTTATGATCTCAGTGACAATGACATCCATGTAATGCCTTAGGTTAGCTAAGTGCACATTTCAATAAAGCTTAAGACTTTAGATTTTGGTGTTAGTCACACATGACAATCCATACTCACTAGCCATCCTTCGCTCAAGTGCCTTGGTGTTGTATAGTTTAACCTATTTCCATCCTTTTACTTATAAGAACACCACCCATAGTCGTGGTATAGTAGTTATCCGACTACACTAGGTGATATAAATTCTTTTTTATACCCCAGTGAATTATAGGGCAGTATCATTGCTTTACGGAATTCACCAATAACCTGTGACCTATGTAGGCCATCATCTAATGACTTCCTCACTGCAGGAGGAGGGAATAATACTTTCACGCGCAAACCCTGAAGCTGCGATAGTTATTAAATCTTCAACAATGTGATAAATTTATCGGGTTACAAATTCACCAATTGCGATCAAAGAAATCTCCACGTAGCCAGCCTACTCTCTAAGTTTTATACTCGGTGCCTCGAGATCATAATGCTTGTAGTTCAATCCCCATTCACGCTAAGTATCAGCGTCAGGCAATTATTGGCAGTTATTTCTATGCCACGTCACGAAGATTATGACTAGGGACCTAGGAGAAGTAGAGTCTATACAAAGGCAATTGAATGACTCTAATTGCAGCGATACTTGCTTATTTACTTGCTTAGGTATTGAATATATCTACCTATATATCTAATTTGAGTAGATACCTCTTATGTATACCTAGGATATATTTAAACACTCGCGCCGTCCTTAGCAGAGGGAAGATTTCCAACCATCAACAACCCGCTTGGTCAATCAACTACCTCTCCTCGTCCACCAACAGCCCAACAACCCTATATACCCCTTTGGCATCGCCAACACGCCATTTTCCTCAGGACTCCTACGGATTACCGCCATACACCTGCGCCATTCCGCCAACCAGACACCATGTGTAAACTAGTAAGCCAGCGTATGAAATACAGCTGCGGCCACAATGTGTATGTATCCGTAATTGCGAAGACCACACACGCATGTCCAGACCATACACAACCCGAATGCATGTTTCCGTCTCCCATCGACGAAATGATCGAGTCGGTTCTTGAGTCCCATGAGCTTTGTCAGAATTGCCGTGCAAACCCACAACCACCAACGCAGCAACAAGGATGGGTTGCACGGGCACTTGGTCGTTAGTTATACCTGAATACTACGACGCATAGGTACCTACCTACCCATGAATTACCTATATGGCAGATGCCACCTATTCCACCTATTAGAGAGTCACTTGCAATGATTTCGCCGCGCTAGAAATTGCAGCTAGATCACCTATGTAGATGAATTCAAGATAATCATCTTTTATATTTATTTGTGAATCATTGGTAGACTCCTAAACTAAGCTTCGATTGGGCTAAATCTTTCTTGACGCGAAGTAATTCCTAATCTATAAGGCCAGAACTGTTGACAGGTTTGAATAATGATGGGCGATGGCTCTTATGGTAGCATCGTTACTAGCTTGGCATCACCTTGAATAACTGATGGTTAGAACCCTAGGTATAATACTGTATCAAGAAACCTAGACTTGATGATGGTCGAATACTAAATATCTCTTGTGTCTTATTGGCTGAATTTCTTGGGTGGTTCCTAAAAGGGTATGTACTAAGTGCTCATTAAGCCTTGATTCGCTAGTATGGGTGGGACTTACACTCGTGTCTCTGTAGCATATCCAAACATGAGGGCACCCCTGCGGTGCGCCACAATAGCCCGAGTTTACGTTATAAGTCGATTCATATACGTAGATCACGTGCCGCTACTGCCGGAAACCTCAAACTCAAATATCAACCTTGAATCGACTTTTTTTTAAAATATATATAGAAAAAAAAAAAAAAAAAAAAAAAAGGCGTGTGGGCTTCGAACCTAGGCTTTTACTACGTATTGTATTGGTGACCGTGGCTGGCCGGGCTGGGCTGGGCTAAAAGTCAAGTAAAAAAGATACGTATTTCGAGAAAAGATGAAAGTGGAGACTTGAAAAACACGTGAGAGACCCGTTTATTCTCAGCTTTTCTAGGGATGCATCCAATAAAACCGCTTAAAATGCGCACAGATGAACTTCCTTTCTCGAGTCGAAGTTTTCCAAAAAGGGATTCCCAAAGAGGAAATCGAGGTTAGCAAGACAATATCCCTCGTAAACTCGGGCAAAGAATATGTCGAAGTAAAATACAAACCCCAATAAGAGAGTCAAGCAATGGATTTCTAAATCAGGTATATACACCATCTAAGAGGACATCCATGACAAGCAATAGCACCATGATCTAATTCGCCAAACCCCTATCCTCCACAGGGAAAAACTTCAACAAACCATAGTCATCCTCTCTAAACTCCACATAAACCCCTTTCGCTAGCTCCTCTAAGTTTCCAATGCTTTCTCTCATACTATGTACCGGCTCGTCCCCTCCGTAGCCGTCAAGAGGGTGAAAGAGCAGAGCTAGCGGCGAAGACTTGAGAAGGGGTTGGTTCCTGGTCAGCACGATGGAGACGGAAAGCAGCACCGCTGTTATAAGGACCTCGGCTACCGGCAAGATAATCCACGGCCAATGGACGTGCCAGTATGTCTCCTGGTGGAACGCCTGGCCGGGCCACGTCAGGGCGTCTCTGTTGTCGCCGGGTGCGGAACTGCGTATCTGGTTCGAGAGAGTGTCCTCGATGTTCTTGGTGAAATTGGTTAGATTCGCGTGGTACATAAACTCGCCAAAGCTGAAGTCCGCGCTGGCGGCTTCGTCTGTTAGAGGCGAAGTTAGACCCGTTGAGAAGAGCCTGTTGACGTGTTCGAAGAGCCCGTTTCGCAAGGAGACGCTTATGTTGAAGAGTTCCCTAGAAGAGTTTGTGTAGAACGTGTCGTATGTGAAATAAAGGGACGGGCTTCCGGCTCCCTCTTGAGACCAGTCATAGCCGAGGAGCTTTTCGGTGGTATAGTTGGCCTCTTGGATCCCGGCGGGCGTTGCGACAACACTGTGGTAGGTCCCGACGCAGAAATCCAAGGTAATGGTGAAGGCTTCGGCGTTCGTGAACGGGATTTCACTGCTTTGATCTGTATTGTTAACACCATTTAGCACACCTTCTATAACACCGTCTAAGTTATTCCAGGTTCGTGACGTGTTGAATAGCGAGCTGCCTCCGTTTATCCTCTGCCATGCCATCTCTATGGGCTCTCCTTGGGGGAATTCGAATGTGTACATGTATTGATACCTGTTAGATTAGCAGGTCTTGTTAACAATATTGGTAACGTTTTTAAAGTCAGCGCAGACAGCTAATGTGTCGAATTGATCCCAGGTACACTTCGCAGCTGGTTCGGGGCAATAGAAGTTAACTTCTTGGACAGAACCTACGGCGCCGTTCGCAATAGTCGTCTGAAGCTTCAATAAGTCAGGATTCGGATCACGCGGACCTATATGCTATTTTATTAGACTGCCGAACCCCCAATATGAACTGGATTCCAAGACGTACCTCTGTAAATCTGTATCGAATTAGACCATACAGCCTTTGACGTATAATTACCAGCTCGTCCTACTTGGGCCGTGACGTTTGTTAAAAGTACCTGCCTGCTCTGCTGCTCTAACATCTGCTGGGCTGTCGGCTCGATGGCCAGTGCAACCAATGTGACTAGAGCCAATCCCCATGCTGCAACAGCTTTGAGGCGGCCAGTGAGTAGCAATAAAAAACAGCCCCATGGCCCTCGACTTGCATCGTCGTAGAGCTGCAAGTGATGGAGTGGGTTGGCTCGATATTGAAAATGGTCCCATTTGAGTTGACTGAGGCAAGACGCGATAGGAATCATCATCGCTGTTCTGGTGATCGTGGTGAGAATAGCTACCATAGAGTTTGGTCGGATAGAATACGGCCACATTTCAACTGGCTGATCGTCAACCTGTTTCAACACAGGGATAATTAAGCTTATGCTAACGAGACTCAGAACCGAGCCTCCTATCTCCCACCACCACCACCAAGAGGCAATTGTGCTTAAGCGCTCTACTTTTGCTTCTGATGCAACCTTGTCCTCTTTAAGTATGCTTCCCGAGTCGCCTGATCTTTGGGGGTTTGGGTTTGGGCTGGGGTTCATGTTGGCTTGAATATCTTCCACATGAGAAAAATATATACGGCTTCTGATGGTTTGTTCTGACGGCGTGAGAAGGGATATACCCGCCGATGCACGGCTGTTTTCTGAATTGTAGCCCGCCGTCAAGCTGCCTGGCGTTTCGTCGTCCGTAGATTGGCTATGATCAATAGGCATGTGCATTCTAGTTTCGTTGTCCACAGGTTGAGGTAGCATTGTGCTACAAGTAGTAAATAGTGAAATAGTATAGAGAAGCAGTGTAAGCATACAAAGTATGACAGATTATCTCTCACATCTCAAAGAAGAAGAAGCTTATATATAAGAATATGTGAATCTTGAAAGTTAGGTATTCGACGGGTCTGATAATGCCTTGATAGTATATTGGGGGCCAAGTGCCTAAAGCGAAACACCGACAATGCCCCCAGCAAGGCAGTATCATAGCCAAATACTACGTAGCAGATGTTGTGATACCAGCAAATTTCAGCTGATTAGTTGGTTGGTTATGCTAAGTCAAACACCTATAAATATAGAGCTATGTTACTCTATGGCTTTGAATGGCATGGATGTGATATGTGATACGAAGCCACAGTCACCGCAAGCTCAACCCTTCACTTCAATATAGGACGAAACAATGCAGCTGATATATATATGAGACCCGCCACACAGACTTGTCTATCATATGAATTCCTCGTTTCTATTGGGGGCGGTTTAAATTCATTGGGCTAGATGTCGTGCAATTATCGCTGATCGAAGACGGACTAGTTGGGGGCCGTTGACGATAGCCCGCACGGGTTTTAGTATAGATTTGGAGGATTTAACTTGTTAAGAACCGTAAAGCCTTGATCATATTGTATATTTCCGGTGATGTGAATATTATCCAGATCTAAACCGGGGATTACTTAAAACCCCTATTATAAAACGCCTAGATAATGCTCCTAATATGATGACCTTGACCCCTATACAATTCCAAGTTAACGAAACCACGTTGCAAACCTACCTACATTAGGTACCCAAGGTACCTAATTTTGCAAGCAATCACCTTTACGCAGCCTCGCTGGTACCGTTGGCCTTGCTCACTCCCCTTTTCGAGTAGATCCTGAACTGGTAGAAAATGATACAATCCTCAATAATCGTTCCTAGAGATCCGAGGAGCCAAGGAATAGCCTTAATAATATACTCCGGCTCTGGGGAGTAAGTGAAAACACTTAGGCCGTATGTTAGATTACCAGTGAGAGACAATAGGAAGAAAAGTAGAGCAAGACCCTCGCAGGACTTCTCCCGGTAGTTCTTGATTATCTGGGGAATTCGAGCACTGGACTTCTATTAGCACGTGTTTTGGAGCTTATTGAGATCAAGTAGAGGTACAATAGATAACAAATAGCACTGGAATATCCTAGAATAAGTCCTAGGACGGCTACTGATGATTCAGCTGCTGGCTCTTCGGGAGCACCAGGCTTGTCCCAAGCCCCAACTTTGTACGACACGAACCAACCGGCAGCTCCAACGATGTAGATAGCTACAACGCTCAGCGTGTTGTGTAACCAGGGGTTGGTATCAGGCGTATCGTCTTCGCCCGTGACAATTCTCTTGATGGGGTCTAAGCCGGACTCGGAATGGTGCACCGAATGACGTCTGTGCGAGCCTGGAAGGCCGCTAGACGACCTCCTTCGCGGCTGCAAGAGGGGTTCGTCTTCCGAGGTCTCAGATTCGGTTGACCTTGTTCGCTGGCGGGTTCTTCGGGCGTTGAGGGTGTTATAGTAGACGGATTGCGTGATTAGGATGACATCGGATATGCAGAAATAGCCCGCCAGTGCTGTCGCCGTGGGCGCGAGTCCAGTCGCAAGAGCACCTAGAGATTAGAGACAACGGTCAGTTTGGCACGTGCTTCATGGTTGAAGATATATGATATATGATAGGTAGATATAATCCTATCCTAGTATTTTCGGATACTGACAGAAATGCTATAAACGTACGTACCTGATAGGTTCGTGAGATCGCCAAAGAGCCAGACAGCTAGGAAAATCATGGACAGGCCATCTGCACTCTGGGCTCTGTAATTAGTGATAAGCTGAGGAAGCTATCGCATAGTTAGCAAAATACCCATAGGGTGATACAATATATGGAGAGCTCTCTTTATCCCCCAAACCACGTACGAGCAGGCAGATCCATGCTGTCAAGCTGATGCTACCAAATACTCCAGACAACATCTCATTAACGGAGAGGCCGTGCGATAAGGCCATATCAGCGACATTCATTTTCAACTTGGCAATAATATATATGCTCAGATATAATGATAGTTAGATAATAATGGGAGATAGAAGGTAGACGGGTAATTGGAACATTAGGGACTAGGTTTAAAGAAAGAGAGAGAGGGAGACCTCAGCCAGGAGCAGTTAGTCAGTTAGTCAGATGGTTTGTCTAGTAAGAGTCAGCTGGAAGGAGGTTATCAGTGGATGGTCAGTGGCTTCAACAAGTTTTCCCTTATCGCATGCACCATCGATCTTTAGTCGCATGTCTGCGTAACTGTGCAGCGTCGCACAGAGATAGGGACGCATAAGAGAGAGGGTAGCAGCGAATAGGGTTAGCGCCAACGATAAAGCTATGCGGTTGTGCAGCTGTGCAGCTGTGCCTGCGCCTGCTGCAGCCCTCAGACAACCAACCAGTGTCGGGTTCGCAGTACCTAGTGACGCCACCTGCACCTGCAGAGGTAGCTTACACAGTACTATCTCGGGTATTCCCGTAAGCTACTTGGTAGTTACATGACCTCTTAAGGTTTAGGTACATACCTACATGATGTACCATTTACATAAGGTACATGTATGGCAGGCAACGAACTCAAATTAACAAACTCCGATATAAAATCGAAGGTTTAGTTATCGGAGAACATCACATCCATAGTCTAGTAGTAACCTTTTTGTTAAACCCCGAGAATAAATGGGTGGTTATTTTTCATCTAACTAACTTAAACCATGTCTTATGTTTGATGCCCGCAGCCGCATCAATAGACCGGGTCATCTGCGACCGCAGCAAATCATATGAGACCCAATGGTCACGCGTGTGTTCCCTCGACAACCAAATCCAGACATGCTGCGTAAGGGCAAAACGGGTAGACGCGCACCAACGATTCACGTGTTTACCTAGCTCATATACCCCTATATAGGTACATACCTTATCCATATTTGATTTTGAGAGGTTATTAATAATTGATATTTATTATTATTATAAGTTATTATTATAAAACGATAAACAGAGCCATTTCGCATTTAGCAATTGAATTAAGTAAATTATAAATTAACTTAATTATCATGAAGCTTGGTCAGAAAGCTATCGTCTTGAGCACGCTCTTACTACCAGGTGCTCTGGCATGGGGAAGTAAGTAGATATATACCTACCTGCCTTATTAGGTATTCAACCTTCGATTTATAAGAGCTATTCAATTAACAAGTGATTTTCATCAAATCTCAGGTTTGGGACATATCACTGTGGCTTACATAGCGACAAACTTGGTCAAGGATGACACTACTGCATTCTTTCAGAATATCCTACAGAATGATACCGAGCATTACCTCGCTGGGGTAGCTACTTGGGCGGATAGCATCAGGTACACAAAATGGGGGCGATTCTCCAAGAATTTCCATTTCATCGATGCGAAAGATACGCCGCCGACGTACTGCGGTGTAGACTTTGAGAGAGATTGCAAGGAAGATGGCTGCGTTGTGAGCTCGATCCAGAATTACACGTCCCAGTTACTCGATACCGAGCTGTGGCCGTCGCGGAGAAGCCAAGCTGCTAAATTCGTCATTCATTTCGTCGGCGATATTCACCAACCTCTACACGTGGAAAACGTTGCTTATGGCGGCAATGGTATCCACGTCAAATGGGAGTCGTCTGAACTGAATCTGCACCACGTCTGGGACACGAGCATCGCAGAAAAGATGCTGGGAGGCATCCATAGGAAGCCTTATGTGGCTGGGTTCGCATGGGCGGCCAATCTTACTCACCAAATCAGGTCGGGCAAGTATGAGGCAGCCAGTAAACTTTGGAATGACGGCCTGAGTTTTGATGATCCTATCCAGACGGCCATGGGTTGGGCAAATGAATCCAATGCCATTGTTTGCTCCCACGGTAACTAATCCCGTATTCAGTTCGAATCTTCGTTTGGAAACGTAACAGCTGACTGGCCTCGTATAGTGTTCCCGGAAGGACCTGACGCAATTGCTGGTCAGGAGCTCGCGGGCGATTATTATGAGAAAGCCGCTCCCGTGATCGAGCTTCAGGTGGCCAAGGCAGGATACCGCCTCGCGACTTGGCTAGACCTCATAGCTGACAAGGCCTCTGGAACGGTCCAGCCTGTTGACGAGCTGTAACAGGAGCCTTTTCAAAGGATCTCTAAAACTAGAATATTCAGTTAATCTAGGACCAAAGATATGTTCGATAGGGATAGGAATGTAATCCAAAAACGCGAAATGCTGCCATGTTGAAAAAATAGATATTATTGCTTTCTTGGTAGCGGATGGATACGAGTGAGGCTTGGGTGCTGTCCGTAGAAATCCTCCATGTAGTAACCCGAAATGTGTTCCAGTTAAATTCAAAGCTAGCTTCCTCTACTAGATTCTTCCGGTTATTGCGGCATGCACAAGGCTTGAAGCCTCTTGGCGAGGTCGCCGATAGGGAATGTGGTAGTTTTCGAGACGTCGCTCGCCGCGTGGGAACATGTTAAGAATTTATATTTATTAGGTCCTCGAAGTTATGAAGTATGAAGTTGAACCCCGAAATCTTGGCAGTTCTAAAAGCTGTTACTTCACTCACGCAATAGGCAGTTCTGTTTTTCTCTCTTCTCGATTTTCTGGGCGGGAAGATCGTTCCCCTTGCAGTGGCCGGTTCTTGGCGTTTCTTAGCATCTTGGTTACGGAAAGGGGAATGTTCCTTGCGAAGAGGTTCCCACGTGATAACCCTGACCGTGAATCAGGGGTCGGCCGAGTTTCATCATTGTATTATGGGACGTGCTTCAAACTCGGATTGCTTAGGGCACTCGTCGCTCCGGCTGCTAGCCTTTTCCTTATTGGCACCCAGGTTAGTCAAACACGAGAAAACCGGTGCTTGAAGCGCGCAAAGCCGGCGGTATATGTAGCACCGACTAGGTATTCAGAGGTCCCGAGACGGCGTAGACATTAGCAATAATATCGGAGTTTTCTAACCGAGGAAGGTCAACATTAGACACAGAGTAAGCAAGATAATGCGCATTGTTATCTAGGCGCCATATTGCGCTGATTGGGATGGACACAGTTACAGATCAAGTTAAGAGGTTGAAGTTCTTCATCCCGTCGCAAGTAGAGATCCTCATTACCTACCATGAGGGAGAGAGAGGGAGAGATCTTCCGCTAATGCGCCAAGCGGAGCACGACGATGATGAATGCGTTGTTTCATTCCAAGCCAAGGTCGGCATATTTAGACGTCATTTTCATCCCATCTTTGACCATGTGAATGTTTCTCCTGCTTTCAACCTTAATGATAAAATAGAGCCTTGTCCCCCGGTGAGGACGGGGTAGGATGTGTAACTCCGGCGACTGAATTTGGAGGGACTTCTAGAACTGTCAAGGGGTTAGTTAAAGCTAGGACCAATTACAAGGGGGTTCTCCAGTCATGACCCCCGGAGGTAGAATTCTGGTAGGATTCTAACTTTTTCGGTGGATTTTATCGTATGCAGCCATTTGTTCTAAGCGACCAATTTCCCATCTGGACTAAAGTTAAATAAGGAATGGTTTGGTAAAGGATCTCGGATGAGATTGCCGACGAGGGTCGGGAGCGTCACATTTTAGGGGATGCAGAAAACGGTTGAGCTGTTTCAGAGCTTTTAGAATCTAGTATCTCGGGATTAGGCAGGACACAACACCAGGTGGTATCGTGAGGATTCTTAATCCTCCTCGATGGTCTGGATCAAATCGGCTGTGTACTATGTAAAGGAGAAGACTTGATAGGAAGCTATTGTGTGAAGAGGAGCCCCTATTGGATTGAGGGTACTAAAATATTAAACAATCAAATATGCACGGCCTATGGGACCAGGCTTGACCCCGGAAATAAAATCGCAAATCAAATCAATTTTGAGTTACCTGATAGATGTTATAGAGGGATTCTAGGAAATTTGAAAATAGTACTACTTCTAGATTGGATTTTATTCCGGTGAGGTTGTTTTACAACTTCATAACGTCTCACTTTTACTCTGAAGGCTGGTTAATTGACAGGGCTGGTTACCAGGTAACATAGTATATTTGGGGGAGTACCTAGGTAATCCCAGCTCTATGGAATACGGTAACAAATCTTCAGCCCTCCTCCCCGTTCATCTAGACAGCCTAGGTACCTACATACCTAACCTACATTTGATGCTCGGTTTCATTTTTAAGCTTGTTTTCACGTTGCTCATGGTGGGTCTAGACAGATCAGAAGGGGCAGATCTCATGATTGGACGGCGAGGGTGAATGGTATGTACAATTTGATTTTCATTACATACCTGTTAGATGTTGATATAGTTAACAGGTGCCTAACTTGGATACTTGATAACTATAATAAGCTCGGGTAAAAGTATATATATGATACTTATTTGAGCCGCGATATACTCTATAAGAATGAACTTGAATAGAACAGTGATTGTTGTTCGAGTTCTAGGTATTCGTGCTTAGTTAAGAGATCACAAATATTCTACCTACCTAGGTAGTTAACTAATTATCTCATAACTACCTACCTAACCTAACTAAGATCACAGCCTAGATTAACGTGAACCCAGCAACGGACTCGTTTCGCGTTGTATGCTAAAACAATAAAAAAAGCTTTTCCGGTTATAAAATGCCAAGGGATCGGCAATCTAAGACCTTGCTGATATGTGATCATTTTGCTTAACTATTAAATCTGTCATCCAAGGTTATGGATCGCTAAAAGAAGATCTAGGTATTATTTCGGCGTAGTGTACCTAATTAATGTAGTATGTAATGTAGTATGTAGTATGTAGTGCCTAGTTAATTTGTACAATTACTACTCTGCTATGTACATAGCAGTAGCTGAAGCTTGATAGACTGCACAAATGGATCCGCGCTTATTTTTTTTCTTCTTTCTGTCGGTATGTTTTGCTTCAGAATGCGACCAGGGGTCGAAACATGAGGTGCCTGATCTACTGGGTCTAGACTTGCGCTGATTGGCTGTTCTTCCGAAATAATGCGGGACTTGCGACATATCGAGCCGCAAAGCCAGATGCACCCGCTTAGCCCGGACCACTTCAGCTGTTCGGCTAACTGAACCCCGAAGTCTTAGCGCTTCCCCTTCTTCAACTTCAATCTTTAATCTTTGATGGAACTTTACGAGAATTCCCATAGATTGCGCCAGATCTCCATCTCCATCTCTTATACCCTATCCTACCCTATCTTATACCCCTATACCCTACCTCACATACCACGGGATAAGGCAACCGAGATTCGTCTCAGCAATGCCCTATAGTCCAAGCGGGTTCTGTTCGTTGTATCGTGTCGTCGATGATGCTCAAATAGGTTGATCAATAGCTTGAATAGGCGCAATCACCTTCACTAAACTCTCCTCGTGTCATCCCAAGTTGGGCCACTTATACGTAGCAGTGCTCGCGTAGTAAGACAGCATTTACAGCATTTACAGCATTTACGGGATACTACTACATAGTAGATGAATATGAGTTGCTACGTACCTAACGTACGGAATACATTAGGTAGGAAGTGCAAGGTCAACAAGTCGCTAAGATGGTAGATGTATGTATCAGTGATACATCTTCTAGTCGACACAGCCTTATCCCGAGCTAGCTCGCTTCGCAAAGAGGTAGAAATCAAGGACTCTAAGGAACTACGGCGTGTACTAGTATGAGGTAGGTATGTAATGTATTTTTTTTTTCGAACTAGGATTATTGAAGCTTCACCTCCCCCATGCATTCGTACATACACATTGCTTCGGCGGTGGTGGGGTCTTGCCAAGGCGAGGCCAGAGATTCGACCATCCCATACCCCTGCCTCCGCACCTTACAAGGTCCTGTCATTATCCTCGACATCCTCTTTGCCCTGCCATCCCCGTTCGCGTTTTGAGACTGTGGATACATCTCCTGGGGATGGAACCTCTACATGGGAACATGATGTAGTGTTTGTTGCGGATGCCTTTGATTCCATAGCACCCAGGCACAATCTGTCCGAGGGGCCTGTCTACCCTGCTGGTGGAGTATATAATAAGGAAATGTCTTGGCCTCGCCTTTTTTTTATGCCTTCTATTCCCATCATCAGCTTTTAATTCTCATTTCGGATTCTCTGTCGAGTTTCTATCATTCCTTTCTCTTTCACTTAGAATACGCTGGTAGTGTGTCTTTTACATTCGTTCTCTTTTGACAGCATTTGACATTTCCCATTTCAATTCATTTCAGTGTTGTCTGTGACCACTCCTTTCAGCTAATTCGAAAACGGTCTGGAACCATTTTTGGATCTTACCATTTCCATTCTTACGACTAGAAAAACGGAAGTGAAAAGAACTTGTCCCTCGCGCTCGATCCGCCCAGGTACTCTTATTCAGTATGCATGCCAAGAGTGTTCTCATCGGCCTGCTAGGCATTACGGTTTTTGCCGAAGCCTCAGCTATTCACCGCCCGTTCGACCAGATAATGAACCGACGAGCGACCCGAGCCCTCAGTGCTAGACAGTTTGGTGGTGGCAACTTTGGTCAAGGTGGCCAGGGCGGTAACAACGGTCAGAATAATGGTCAGAACAACGGTCAGAACAATGGCCAGAACGGCCAGAACCAAGGCAATCAGAACAACAACAACAACAATAATGGCCAGAACAACGGAAACCAGAACAATAACAATGGCGGTAACAATAACAACCAGGCTTCGTTGACGTTGAACCAAAATGCCATCCAGACCGGTTCGCAGTCCGATGGTAACCCAGACGCAGCAGACGGAGAATCAGCGTCCAAGACGTAAGTTGTTGAAATCCAAGTTGGATGGTGTTAGTAACTAACATTACCTAGTGACAATGCCAACTTCATCAACTTCTGTAGCGGCCAGACTTTGACAAACGGTCTTCAAGTGAAGGAGGGTTCATGTAACGGTATCCGTAAGTAAACTATTGCCTATATTTTGATATGGTAAATAGTTGCTAACAGTAAACCAGCCATGGGTAAAATCCCCGCAACCACCAAGATGGTTTCGAGTGTTCTGATCAACCCTAAACACAACGACAACATCCAGGCCAACAAGGACTTTGATATTCAGGTTCAAGTGCAGAACTTTCAGGCCGGTACATTCACGAATGCCGCCAACACGTACTATTCTGCGCCTCAGGATCTGAATGGCCAAGGACAAATTATTGGCCATACCCACGTTACAGTTCAAGACATGGGCAACTCTTTGAACCCTACTCAGCCTCTTGACGCCACCAAGTTCGTTTTCTTCAAGGGTATCAACGATGCGGGTAATGGTCAGGGACTTTTATCGGCTACTGTTACCGGTGGTTTACCTGCTGGTAACTACCGTGTATGCACCATGTTCTCATCCGCAAACCATCAGCCTGTCCTTATGCCTGTTGCCCAACGTGGTGCCCAAGATGATTGCAATAAGTTCACTGGTAAGATTCGATACATTGTTATGGTGTGTATATTTCCGGATTTGCTAATTGTTTTTTCAGTTGGTGGTAACGGTAACAACGGTGGCAATAACGCCAACAATGGCGGTAACAATGGTGGCAACAACAACAACAACAATGCCGCGAACGGCAACAACGGCGGAAACGCCGCCAATGGAAACAACGGCAACAATGGGAATGGTGGCAAAGGCCAAGGACAAGGCTCAAGTAATTCGAACACAAATAACGGTGCTGGCGGTAATGCTAACGGCAAAACCCAACAGACTAAGAACCTTGGCGGCGCAGCTCCGAGTGTAACAAACTCCGGAGATGCTAGTAGGCCATTTGCTGTTAACGGGTGAGTTCAGTGACCCAGATTCGGTATAAGCACAGCCAGCTGACCTATCATTTTCAGGAACACATTTGTGAACGAAGCTGCTGCTAAGCAGAGGGCCTGCGATGTTAGTATTTCTGCACCTTGGATATATTCTTCACTTTGCTAACTCATTACGTAGATACAAAACAACAAGTGCAGCGACGCAGCGAACGCTGGTGCTAGTTTCAAACTTTCGGATTGCCAAGCGCAACTTCAAACTTGCCAAGCGGCATAGTTGAAATTTGGGGGTGGGGGTAGTGTTCGAAACAGCATGGCAGTTCGCTGTCGAGCGGTATGTACTGGAGTTTTTGATTCGTAGGCTCTCTGTTTTGCCGCAGGAAGTCCGACGTTGATGTGTAATGTCACGCTGTGTGTGGCAGGATAGAGAGTCCCGGCGGTCGGGCGCATGACAAATACTTTTTAATGATCAACAACCAAGCTCCGACTGTACATTTTTATATCATCATGAAGCTTGGTTAATTTCCCTGATATCTATTTTCTTTTTTATACGAAGTGAAGTGGGGGTGGGGATGGTCATACAGCTAGAAGGGAATGGAAGCACATTTCAGAAATTCATTATTTAATCTTGAGCATTGTGACTGAGCAATATTTGGAGACTGTAGTGGTGTTGGTGAAATCCATGCGCCGGCAAATCTTGGTTCGCACGTTTAGAGCAAGATAAGTACCTAAGATACCCAACCTACCTAGGTACCTATGTAATGTAATATGATTAATATGATCTCAGCGCGGATGCAAGTAATCCGCAACGGGCCGGTCGGGTTCGTCTAGGTTAGGTACTCAAACGGGCCAACTGCTTTTACGTGTGCTTGAGCGCATTGTCTCAGAATAAGTCAAGTCTACGAAGTACATGTAGCTGTTTGCTTCCAAACAGGGGCAATTGTTATAGAAATTATTCTCGTAACTCTAACTACCTGCCTAACGTAGATGCGGCTAATTGAGTAACCTAGTAGAAAATGAAGTGTCTAAACTGTGTCAGTACCGAGGAACTTGGAGAGAATACCGCTTTTGTTGTGGAGCGAGTTGTTGGTTAACCTATGTACATAGAAAGCTGTCTTGGTAACAATAAGGGGCTGCGCTAATCCTATTTTGTCTTGCGGCTCATCTTGTTTGAACCCCCTTGTCTGAACAACTCCTTGTTTTATGCACGTGGATTAAATTATGAGGTATATTATAACGGGACTTTTTTATTCACTTCGCTTATAACCTTTTTAGGTACATATGTAGTTACTGCGGTGGAGATTATGTAATTACTGAGCTATATTGATAATTACTGGACCTTGCCCAGTCATTAAAAACTTTACTAAATCAACATCTTAACATTGTAAACTTATATGCTTTTCATATTATGTGTCCGTATCTCGGAATGTCCGCCCGCGGTAAACTTCCGTTTGTTGATGAAGTCAATGGCATCCTATTAATTTTCAAGTCTTCAAGATTTCAACCGGGCGAGAAACATTGGTTTCGCGGCTCGGCAGTGTGCAGAATGGATACATAGTTAATCAATGGCTATACATCGTTTACCGTATACTTTGGCCCCTTAAGACCGAGAATTCTCTTATCTTCTGGATTAATCACTAGGGAAAAGCTAATGCTTCGTCAATGATACACGATCAAGTCTGAACCGGTGAAAGGCTTACATCCAGTTATCGACTTTAAGGACGGGAAAGGTGTGCGGTACAACATTGTTCTAGGCGGCAGCCGGAACATTGCATCGGGAACTTACCTACGTCTACGTGAATGACCTGTCGTATCTAAGCTGTAAGATCAAGGGCCGGAAGTCCACCGTCTTAGCAGGGCTGGCCAACTCCGTGAGCAAGGCGGTATCTTATTTCCACCACGCTTTGAGGTACAATGTCACGAACCAGCAGGAAATGCAGGAACACGATAAACCCTCCCGCAAGACTTTGGTAGAGGGGCCCCTAACCTATAGCGTACTTAGCACTCTCTAGTGACCCCATTCTAATCATTGTTTCTAGATTAGGAACTAGATGAGTCGTCATCATCGAAATTGTCCATCGGATCCTCCCACAGCGGCCGGCATTGTTTTATTATATTTGTCCCTTATATCTCCGGCACTACACGTCGCGTAATGCGGCAAATGAAAATGTTCTATGGGCCCTACTTCGCATCCTCTTGCAGACATCTCGCAACTGGAAGACTGTCATCATTGCCAATGACATCCACCTTTGGCCCAGCGTTGCCCAGTCATCTCTTAGGATACTAGAAGAGTTCCTCCGTTCTCTGAACTATAGATACATATTAGTTTCGATAGTTCCAACGTGGACTGGAATTGGGTTGATTTTGGCGAGAGGACCGTGCTGCATTCCGCTGCAGTCGGCGGAAACGAGAAAATCTTTAAGCATGTCATCAGTCGGGGGGTTCTCGACCTCGATAGAAAAGATAAGGACGGAAAATCACCATTGATTATTGCAACTCAGTTGAACCACTCTCTATTCGTGGCAGGACTTTGTGAACAAGGAGCATATGCGACATTGGCTGGCTGACAAGGATGGAAGGACGGCACTCCATCATGCCATCTTCAAGTGCTTACTGGGGCATTAAATGACGAGGAACTAACCAACGTCATAAACGAAGAAAAGCCTCCCCTCCGCATTAAACCAGCCGGCGTGAGCTCAAGTATCATTCGGTCCTTCCTAGACGAGGGAGTTGGCAGATCAGCTGAAGAAGATCGGAGTCAAAAACCAACCCACCCCGTTGCAGTTATGAGGTACCTGGATGAACTTGAAAGGGTGTGTCTGCGCACAGAAGTTGGCTCCTCTAAGAATAAGGATTTGCTCATACATTCATTATCGAAGGGCCATTTAGTGGCTGTGTGGTTTCTTCTAGGAAAGATCCTACGCGATTCGGAGCAACCTTGCCGGCTTTGTCGAGTTCCTCGTCCAACATTTGTACCAAGCTTCCATAAAGTGGCAAAAAAGGAAGCTTATCATTAAAAGGAGCTTGATATCGACGAGAAAAATAAAGAAAAGAAAACGCCGTTGCATTCAGCTCTCTCCTCAAGTAGCTACGATACATCAAAATTCCTCCTCGACAAAGGGGCCAGCATAGACGAAAGAGATAGCCTTGGAACTAGTTGCCCTTTTTTTTTTTTTTTTTTTTTTTTTGCGCCTAGGAGAATACAAATTATTAAATACCTCCTCCAGCCGTTATGAATGACGTCCCAGCTGATCAGGACGGATGGACTATAGAGGCCTTCCTCTCCCAGCAATATCGGTATAAGCCGGCTAAACATATGCCTCAGGACATGACGACGGTTCTGACTCTAACTGTCTGCATCGGACTCTCTGGAGAGTTCACCGACATAAATTACGCATTTCCCGGGCGCGTCGACCATGGGGTACTACGGCGATACTAGCTGCGTGTACTGTTCTTTAGTAATCGATGGGACGGATACCAGCATCACGTACTGTGGTTCGGAGAACGACGATGAGACAGATACCGGTAGAAAGTTCACAGGAGGGAACACAGTCGGTTGTGGAATTGATCGGGGGGAAAGCCTCGTTTACTGCACGGTTGATGGCCAATGCTTGGCTGGAGCTTATACTAACATAGTTATTTATCGCAAGAGATCACCACTATAAGTTATAATTCTTTACTAAAAAAGACGTATCTCGTCATCTCCGTGTAGAATACACCTAGCAAGGTACGAGTCAACTTTGGCGAGGAAACGAACGGAGGGAAAGGGAAGAGCGTGATATGAGGTAGGTTAGGTACCTAAGCTACGACCAATAGTGGTGTTGGCTTGAACTCGAAACATAGGTTCTTGGTGTGGCTCGACGATATAAAGTCATGAGCTTTACTCTCCGAGCTCGTTGCCTTTAATTTAGTAGCTTTAGTACTTTCAGCCGCATGGTTTGGCTACAGACGGGCATTGCTATCACATCAATATATTATCAGAAATGTTCACGGGTAGCGATTTACAATTAAGCTAAACGCAACTATGTCCACACTCTTTATATTAGCTCTGCCGTCTTTTAAATTATGTGCTCTCCAAGGGTCTTCCATTTTTAAGTGAGCATGAGTACAAACAATCCACCGTCATCCTTATATGGTCTATATGGTAAGTAAAAAACCGGTATAATAGGTGTTCGATATTTACACCAAGCACCTAATAATAGCCAGTGAGATGGATAAACCTTTTATTTTATATAATACATACGGCTAATAAACCAATTACCTTTGGCTATTAAATCATGCATCGCCTATTTATAGGTCTCGTTTATATATTGAATGCGGTCCCAATGTCAACCGACTCAACCCGCGCGAATAAATAGTAAGAAATAGACACGCTGTAGTAGTATATAAGTACATGATAGCTCGCTGGGGAACAAGAACCCCGCGATGCGCTAGTTTATCCTAGATGTCGTGATAGGGCCCTCAGACTGCCCCTCATAATATCTTATAGTATATATAGCAAACGCTACCGAGACTCCTGAAAATCGTGCGAATGTAGGTCCCATAAATACATCATAACCAAGTCGCTGGGAATCTCTACCTATAGTAGCCAAATGACCCCGCAAATTACGCCTTGCCTTCGTATAGCCTCGTCTAGATAGTTGGAAGATATTTCATTATCCATGATTCTTTAAAACCCTTCGAAGTAGTGGTCATATTGACGAGACAGTTCGTTAGTATATGGCTCCCGCTTACCATCGTCCTCCGGGTAGATATCGAAGCACTGTGCGTCGCCCGGGTACCGTACGTTGGGCTGTATCGGGGGCCTGATTTGCCGGCTATAAAGCGCATTCCAATCTATGCCTTCGAAGAATTGATGCTCCTTAACTTGACGAGTACCGCCGATGAGATTTCCTAATCGCCTAGAGCGATCCACAGTACAGAACGAACGGATGATGTTTTGCGCGTTAGGCGAGATAGGGGGTTCGGCGGGGAAGAGCACGGGCTTCTCAATTATCCTGTGATCTTATTAGCTTTTGGGGGCGGTGAAACATGCGACTCCCCGGTACTCACTGCTTGTAAATCTCAATAGGATTCTGATGCCAAAATGGAGGATAGCCAGTAAGGAACTCGTAGATCAGAATACCCAGGGCCCACCAATCAACGGCAATGGTGTGTCCCTTGTTCTGAATAACCTCGGGCGCCAAGTACTCGGGTGTACCACAAAGAGTATAGGTCTCAACAGGTCTACTATCCCTGCTACCGAGTCTCTTCGCAAACCCAAAATCGACCAATTTCACGTGACCCTGGCCGTCCAGGAGGAGGTTTTCTGGTTTCAGGTCGCGGTATGCGACACCGCCCTGGTCGTCATGAAGATATTCGAGTACCAAGACGATCTCAGCAGCATAGAACTGGGCCCATTCTTCTGGGAATCGCCGATGTCTTCGTAGATAACTAAAGAGCTCACCACCTGGGACATAGTCGAGAAGCATGTATAAGGAATCGTGATCGGAGAAGGTGGTGATTAATTCGGTAATAAAAGGGTGACCAGCGACATCGCTTAGTATGCGACGCTCGTCTCGAACGTGGTCTAATTGCTTCAACTTGATAACTTCGGCCTTCCGTAGGATCTTGAGAGCGAACACCTTGTCACGGTCGTCTTCTTTAGCGCCGGCAGGATGGACTAGACAGACTCTAGCAAAGGTGCCTATGAGAAATAGGGTCAGCATGGAAAATACTGTAAACACTTGGCGCATCTAAAATAGCCGATATGACGGGTGGGTGTGTTACCAGTTCCTAAAGTCCTCACGAGGGAAAAGTCGCTCAGCTTTAATCGCTGGTGTTGAGGTGGTACTTTTGGATCGACGTCAGCTTCTGGCTGGAGAACATTGTTGGTGTCTGTGTTCGCGACGGGCCGCAAGCTGTGTTCCTGTATGACCCGTGGAATGAGGCCGGGTTTAGCAACGGTAGCAGCCATTTCTTTAAGATTTATCTGGGGTACTTTAGATATTTCAACTAGGTAAACGCTGCCTGTCGCAATTGGCGGATATCATTAGACGATACCCATGTCTCAGCGCAAAATATTTCTAGTAGCAGCAAGGACGCCTCTGACCATGGGCCGTCCGTCGAAGGGCAATGCACATGAATTGGATATATGGTGTAAGCTGGGTACTTCAAAGAGTACACATGGCGAACGTGTTGAAAAGGAGGCGGCACATGTATACCTAGTCGACTTGACGGACGGAGGGAAAAACTTATAAGAGAGGGCACTTATAAGAGAGTGCTAAGATAAGATGCGAGATTAGACCAGGACAATGGCTGTCCGCCTCTTTAGCGCATTAGATGGTAAGTAATAATAGGTAAAGTCTATATGACGAGGATGGTGGGTTATTAAAACGGAGTTGATAATTCTGTTTTTGTTTTGTTTTTGGTAGTTATTCGGTTAGGCTGGGCTGGAGTGGAATGGGCTGCATAGATACCTACATGTACCTAGGTTTAAGGTAAGTTACCTAAGGTATGTAGGCAAGTAGTAAGCAAATGGGACATATGCGATCTCCAGCCTTGTAGCGATGACGTTTGCTGTAGAACGAACCCAAGCGGGGAGGGATTCCATTGTTGCAGGTGATGAAAGTGGACCAAAGTGGACCAAAGTGGACCAAAGTGGACCAGAGTGACCAAAGTAACCAAAGTGACCAAAAGTGGACTCCAACACTGTCTGATCTAGACCGCGAAGGGAAACTACCCTTTATATTGCGTGGATGCGTAGAGCAGCTGGAACGTGCTGGGTAGTTGCAGGACGTCGCGCCCACGCATTTCAACCAATCATCTTTGCCCTTCTACCTAGGTCATACAGACCATATCGAGGCTTTGAGACACAAACATCAGCCAATTGTAATATGGTTGATTCAGTATTAATTGTATCTGGCACTATATATGTTAGGTAACGACGTGATGCGACAAGATGAAAGGTTGAAGAAATAGGATCCGAGTCTAGCCGTGTTAGTGGTTGTTATGACGGAGGATATGGAAGCCAGCGGGATATCGGGGAATTCCAATTAAATTAGCGAAGCTTGAGATGATGTAAGTTGAATGTACGTACATACGGAATATGTACTTTAGTTCAGGTACCAAAGTACCCCCACTTCAAGGGGTTTCAAGGTCAGGAGGTAGTATGTATGTAGGTACCTACCTAACCTAGAGCTTCAGCCACAATAGAAGGGTCATTTTTACCGGGAGAGGCTGAAGGCACGGCCAGAGCGGCACACTTTAGGTAACCTCACAGTTGTCTTATCCCTGAACCTGTAGCAACCCCACGGAGGAACATCTCTCCTTACAACAACCTACGCACTTACACACTTACACACGATAACAGCTGACACAACATCTAGCATCTTCACGACGAGTACGACTGCTCCTTTTCCATTTTCTGCATACGTTCCATCTCCGTGGCCTATTTAGCGTTATTGCTCCTCCGAACGTTATTAGAAATGAATTGAGTTACAAATACATGGACTCGACTCTGCTGGAAGGTCTTGAACCATGTTTAATAACCTCACCAGCTTTGTGCAGAAGGCTCAGTCGGCTGCCCAGCAGCTGATTGATCCTATGCAAGGACTAAACCTGACCAACTCAGACAGGCATCCCTCCAAAGCTTCTCTATTCCAGAATCAGTTCCGACTTCCCAGCTCCCAGACGCCCCTGTACGAGATACCCGCCGAGCTTACCATACCGCCTTCGAACGTCACTCAGGGTGATAAAGAACGTGACCGGGGCTGGCACTATGTCGGCAAGCTGCACCTTTCCGAGTTCTATATTTGTTTTTCGACTACCCCGACCAGTTTTTCACAAGGCGCTAGCCCCTCGAGTGCCGCCGCATTCACCGGCCAGACACATGGTGCCGGGCCTAGTGGGAATGGGTTTACTTTCCCTCTCTGCGCTATCAGAAAGGTCGAGCGCCTAAATACCCAGAACCTTCAGGTACGAAGGCATTCCTCTTCACTTACGGCTACTGTATCAACTCGAGCTAACCTTGAAGGACTCTAGTTTGCTCTCGCCATCACTACTTGGAACGGTATAACACAGGAATCGGTCAAGGATAAAGATGCGCAAAAAGACAAGAAGGATTTCAGAGAGCAGAGGATCACTATACAGCTTGCCGGATCCCGTCCGGCATGTGAAAGATTTTGTGACGGCCTCAAGAAAGGCTTAAGGAATGCGGTCGGTAGCGTCGGGAAATATAAGAAGGTTATGTCCGAATGTTACTCGGAGTACCTTCTCAGGCCAGAGGATAAAAAGAACATAAACCCGCCTGATGCTGGTTTAGGTATGGTATTTCGATATCCTGGCGACCCGAAGAAGCTCAGGGATCGGGCAAAGATGAGGTTATGGGCCGAGTATCTTCGCGATAATGGTCGGAATGCGACCCTGATTCGTCAGCCCACATTTCATAAACTGATCAGAGTCGGTCTCCCAAACCGACTCCGAGGTGAGATCTGGGAGTTAACGTCTGGATCTCTATATCTACGACTCGAAAATCCGACCTTATACGTGGACACACTCGCAAAGTTCGAAGGGAAAGAGTCGTTGGCTATAGATGAAATAGAAAAGGACTTAAACCGAAGTCTCCCCGAATACCCGGGATTCCAGAGCGAAGATGGGATCAGCCGCCTACGACGAGTTCTCACAGCATACAGCTGGGTTAACACCGACGTCGGGTACTGCCAGGCCATGAATATCGTCGTGGCCGCTTTGCTAATTTACATGTCCGAGACTCAAGCGTTCTTCCTCCTTTCAGCATTGTGCGATAGGCTAGTTCCCGGGTATTACTCCTCTACTATGTATGGTACGCTCTTGGATCAGAAGGTCTTTGAAGCCCTTGTGGAAAAAACGATGCCAATTCTGTGGGAACATCTCGTTAAGAGCGATGTACAACTTTCCGTCGTTTCTCTTCCCTGGTTCCTCTCTCTGTATATCAACTCGATGCCCCTGGTTTTTGCATTTAGGGTTCTGGATGTTTTCTTTGTCGAGGGGCCTAAGGTACTGTTCCAAGTCGGACTGGCTATTCTAAGGATCAACGGCGAAGAATTATTAGACGCTGCGGACGACGGTGCTTTCATATCTGTTCTAAAGTCATATTTCTCGCGTCTCGACGAATCCGCACATCCTAAGTCAGAAAATCCAAAGCTACGAGCTATCAACAGGTTCCAAGAACTGATGGTAGTAGCTTTTAAAGAGTTCTCGGGCGTTACTCATAGCACTATCCAAGATTTACGATTAAAGAACAAGGATGCGGTTCTCAATAACATTGAGAATTTCGCTAAGCGTACTGCTATCCGAAATCTTGGACCCGACAGCAAATTACTGAGCCCTGACGAACTAGGAGCCCTGTATGACAGATTTTACGGGATCTTGTACGAACGACAACAGCGAGATCACATCATCCAAGAACAACTAGCTCGAGCTAAAGCCAGCCGAGCTAGAGCCGCTGACGCATTCCCGGAACATCGCGACCACGGCATCGAGAAGGGTCGGGTCGGCCTGGGTCCCAGTACTAGCTTAATGGATTACGATGCATTCCGGGAATTCCTAGCGAGCGTGTCTAAATGGGCCATCTCTGATGCTCCAGCCTCGCCTAGGCGCGACTTGTCCGAGAAAGACCGTGGCTCATACTTTGGCGGGTTTAGACGATCCGAACCTAACCTACTTTCACCGTGGGGAGGAGGCCCCGAGCCGACGGATCATGAGTTCATGCAGAGGTTATTCCGAAGATGGGATGTGGATTCCAGCTCGGCGTTAACGTTGCAAAATGTCGTGACGGGCTTCGCACATATCAAGGGGAAGCGTGACATTATGGGCACAATCACATACTTTTTTGAGCTCTATGATGACGATGGCGATGGAAGAGTCGACCGAGAGGGCATACTCAGAATATCCGAAGCGCTCTTATTCCTCTCGCGTCGTGGCCTTGAAGGATCGTTAAGTCATTCTGCGTCGACCCCGGCGCCGAATGGGCCAAGTGAATCTAGCAGTGGCTCGTTGAGCCCACCAATCGGGGGTACTATTAATGAGCGATTTTTGGGAAGCGTGAGCGCTTTCATTCGGCGCTGTTTTGAATATGCCGATCCTGATCATCCAAATAACCAAATCACAAATAATGGAAAATCATTTTCCAATATCGAGGAGCCAGTGGGCGACAACAATAGTGCATTTGCTATTGGCGATGACGAAGATGACGAGGAAGAAGAGGAAGATTTACTTGCGTTTGAAGGTCCACCAGACAGTCCCAAGCCCGCGAAGAAGAAGCCTGGCTTAGGAGAAGCAATTCCGTCGGCTTTAGGTAGGCCAGATACCGACAACGAGGCTAGACGTGCGGTATCCAAAGCCCAGTCCGAGAAAGCCAACGCAGCCCTAGATCCTTCAAATCCGCTGCATATAACTTTGCCAACGTTCCGAATGGTGGTCCTTGCAGACGAGCTACTGGAACAGTTCTTCGAATCATCATTTCCTACCTCATTACACCTCACTGATAGCTTGACGTCTACTAGCCAGTCTGCTTCATCTCTAACCACGTTTTCTAATATGAGCTTCGGACGTTCTACTGGTGCACCCCCTCCTGTTCCACAGGTAGGCATGGCAGGTGCTGGTCGTAGTCTACGTGGCGTTCTAGACAATATTGTCACAGATGCGTCACGTGTTGCCGCCGAAGTCCGCCGGCGTATGGAAGAAGCACAGCGCGAATTGGAGAAGAATGCAGTACCCGGACAGAAAGATGAGGAGGAAGAGGAAGAGGAGGATGTTCAGGGCTTACGTCCGGCTGGATATGGTGGAGATCCCGAGCGGAGGAGCGTCAGATCATCCGATAGAGATCTATTGGACGGAGCAGATGCGGGAGCTGGGGCGGCGAAGAGCCCAGAAGGGCAAAGTCAGTCGAATGTTGATGCCAATGATACGCAAGAAGGGAGGCCAAGAACCTCCAGTTCAACAACACAGAGAATTGTGGAGTTTGAGGGTTGAAATGCATGTAGAGGTTAGCACAGGGTCAAGAGGGAGTTAGGGTATCGGTCTGGAACATGATTGAGGGTCTTGGCGTCGTTTCCGCTGCTTTGTTCGCAAGGTGTATGTACAACTGAATGCCACTATACCAGGGACTGTAATTCAAATTCAATGAATCAACAAATTGACCGAGCTGAAACATTGTGCTACTAAGAATTTGGCGAGGTCTCCCTTCAATGCCCAGGAATCCGGGTCTTCAAAACTAAGCTAACATGAATTATTAATCTTGACTATTGAGGAAATTATCAACATTGATGCTAGATGAGCTAGAGGCGAAAGGGGAATTTCCTATTTGTCTATTGCTCGTTATCTTCAACTCCAGCCTAGGAGGTTAAATCAACTCATTCCAAGGGCAGCGAGATAGCTTAAGAGTAAATTACGGTGATAGATCTGAGTCAATAAGGGAATGACATGGCTGGCCAGATTCAAGTCTCGCCCTTTTAGTAATGAAATCGAACATTCCCCTTGGTTGTTTACGTTATCCTAGACACAAAATGCTGGTTGGAATAATACATTCAAATACTTCCAAATTCGCCCATCCAGTCGATTCTTTTGCTGAGTATCACCCTACTAACTAAGCCAATACTACCTTTCTTGTAATCTACCGACGTTTATTTATAATATTTTCAGCCCAAGGTAGGACTTGTTCATATTAAACATCTAAATTCACGATGGGGTTGTCGATTCAGGTCAGAACTGCCGTTGCGACTAGCTTGCTGGTATTTTCGGCTCAGGTCAACTCGGCTTCGGCTTCTTCTCAAGCTACTATGAGTGCTTCTACCTCGACTGTTTCCTTGATGAGGTCGTCTCCTATCTCCTTGGTTATGTCCGGGAATGCTATGCCGTCCAACTCAGCTATCCCGGGCGCTACCAACTCCAACGCTCCTATCATGCTCGCTGTCGTCCCGCTGCGTGACCCTATCAGTCGCAGAAACACCGAGAATAAACACCCTAAACACCACGACTCTGATAAAGAACATCACCACGACAAGGAGCACCACCACTCTGATAAGAAGCATCATCACTCTGACAAGGAACACCATGATTCTGACAAGAAACACCACCACGATAAGGGATTCGTGGGCACTACGCCCCCCAACCCACTTAGCTGCACAGACGCAACTACCTTCGATTTAACGAACGGTGTGATCAGCAGCGGTGGGGAGTACCTTATGACGGGCCGGGACGTCCTGTACGAGCCGTTTACAACATCTTCGGGGCGCAGGGGTTCCGCAGCCGGCCAGTTCAGCGTTGAAAACGGGTATCTGCGCTGGTACGATGACGGGTTCTACGGCGGGCGGGCGCGGTACTGCCAGATGCCGGGCTCGGGACAGGTGTACGCCACGTTCCATATCGACAGCACCTGGCCCGAGGGTTGCGAGGAGGTCGACCTTGCAGCGGAACCGGAGTCGTGGTGCCAGGATGGGTACCGCGGGGGAGAGGAGCATAGTGATAAGGATGAGGATGAGGATGAGGATGAGGATGAGGATGATGGGTACAAGCACAAGCACAAGCACGACGACGACGGTGATAAATATAAGACCAACGATGCACATAAAACCAAGGACGATGATCATCACGACACTGACTACGCAACGAGCACCGGATATCGCGTCCATACGGACTACGAAACCAGCTCCGAATACGCGACCCCGACAAGCCATGAAACTTACAGAAGTTACAAGACTCCCGCCAGCCACGCAACACCCACCTATCCCACTGCCAGCTTCCAGACCCCTACATCCCACGGTATCTACCAGACGTACGCCAGCCCGACCGGCCAGCTCTGCGTCGAGACGCCGCTGTCTTGGGTCCTCGGCAGCCATACCTTCATCCGGGACGAGCTATGAAGAAAGAAAGAAAGGAAGGAAGCGTAATTCTACTTACGTGTATTTTATACTATTTCCATCACTACCACGTACGTGTGCCAATACATGGGTGCTAGTTGACCACCAGCCGGGGGGGGGGGCGGTAAAACGAGATACGAAGAAATTGGAGAAAGGGTGTTTTGGATCTACATTTCTTGTTTAAATACACGTTAGTCAATCATCTTTGTATTGTAGTTGGATAGTTTGGAGAAGTCATTGATTTATGTTGGTCATATAATTATGTCCCAAGTCACAACCCACATTGTTGCGGTTCAAACGAGTTGCAATTTAAACGTCCTAGTTTCATGCTTGATGAATTAGGAGGTTGTGAATATAGTGAAATAGAATATATCGAGGTAGAGGACTCGCTAGTAGGTGTATTGTAACTTCCACTTCGCTTCTTGTGTCCTCTCTGGTCGGATAGATCTTGAATACTCCTAATTATCCAACAAGCACATCTTTAAGTTGAGAAGCAAGCTTTTATCATATGATAATAGTTAATGTATGACTTGAAGTAGGGGGGTTATTCAAACTTAGGGCTGTCAAGGGTTACGATGCAGATAACACCTGAACCTAGACATTTACACCAAAGACTCTAGAAATACGCAAGTATAAGGCCCTTCTCAATTTATATACTTAACATCAAAGATATTAACCTAGCGGATAAGGTATACAACAACTTTGAGCTGATGTAAATGATACTGTATATAGACGGCCGGGTTTTTGCTTCGTAGGAAACTGGCCATAAACGACATGCTGGTATTGGTGCCTTTTATACAAAAGGTAGTACGAGGTATTAGAATATGAATATTATAGTAGTGACTATAACCCTCCTCCTCGTGTACTATCAGTAATAATACCTCCTTTCTATAGCCTGGTAGATTGCCCAATTAGGTATCCTGATACTCCTGCCCAGTTCGGCTCATCACTATTTTTGCTCCTCAGGCTACCTTAACGTCCGCTCGACACTCATCCTTAATTTCTCCTTTATTATAGAGTTTAATATAAACGAAGGCAGGAATTCTGTTATTCATGGCCTGTCATTGACACCCAAGGAGCAAGACAAGGCGCTAGGATTAATTTATAGTGTTTAGGTAGCATAGCAAGTTTTATAATCACAATAGTCACCAACAGCGCGATGAACGATCAAGCTATTTAAATGAAGTCTCTTGTTTCTTATCTCACTTATTCTCTTATCACGTCTCAACCCCCCTACAACCGATTCTATACAGCCAGTCCACTCTACTTCCCCCTAAAAAAACACGACCGGTAGAGCCGATAACCTAACCTTAACCCCGAACCGGAAACCCAACCGTGAACCCGATGTCCCTGAAAAAAAAATATAGAAAAAGCGTCCTGTCCTAATGCTTCTTCTTTCTTCGCAAATCCTGCCCAGGTATCATCATATAACGCGCACGACACGCGCGAGCGGGCGCGCGCCAAGATAGAGAGATAAGAGATGAAGACCCCGGCTCAGCAAATGCGTGACAGTCATAAATGCCGTGAGACTCCCCAAGTTAAGATTAAGAGACCCCATGAGGACAAAGGAAAAATAAGCAGTTGTGGTAGCCGAAAGAAGCTCGGGGCATATCCCGTCTAATCTTGCGGGATAGGTCGTGCGTCTCTTTATGGATAAGACGACAACTCTGGCTATTGAAGTGAAAACCCCCATCTTCAAGGTTCTCGATAGGCCATCCGGCTTCTCCGTAACAATTTCTAATCCGTATCGATACAAGCTAGAAGACATTAAAAAATAAGGTGGTTGAGCGTATAAGCTCTCCAGTAGAGCGGGTTACTTTATCTTCCTAGCGTCGAACAACGTCAAGCTTAGACTCGTATCGTTCTCGCCTACGACAGGGGTGGGTTCGTTGAGGATTTCCCACCTCCTGAACACAAAGGGGGTTAGCTTCTCTGGTATCATATTCATCCCCATCGCCATTGCCCTCCTTTCTTGGATTCCCTGGGGTGTCTTCTCGCGATGGGCTAGCATTAAGTTTTCAGCCGGGTTCGGAGCGAAGCTGAATAGGTATCTGATCCTAGGATCAGCCGTGGCATCTTTCACTGCCCGTACGCATAATAGGCGCACCTCTTCGGGTAAGTTATCGGCTAACACGAGCGCGATGTCGAAGGCTTTTTGTCCGAGATTGGAGGACAGGTGATTGTCGAGCTCCTGGATGAGACCTGCGAGGATGACCAAAGCACGGCCACGGATTTCACCGCCAGACACCCGTGAAGCATCCAATGCACTGGTGGATGGTGAGGTGAAAAGAGTGAGGTAAGACAATATAAGAGGCAGCCAGCGCGAGAGCACAGCGGCTTGAAGTGATGCGTACTCGCCGGTTCTCGAGGCTAGGATATCCCACAAGTCTGCAAGTTTGTCTACCAGAGCGCTAGAAAATTGGAACACCTTTGATCCCGACCCGCCACGGAATATGGAATCAATAACCGTCAAGAGATTCTCCGCCATGCAGATGTCCCTATCAAAAGTGGCATCTCCGGGAGGATTCTTAAGAGATGGAATGATATCTAGCAAGCGCGACTCCGCTCGGTTTCTCATGTGCTGCGTAATATCAGGACTAAGAGAAGGGAGTATGCCTGTCCACATGATATTATTAGCGTCGATGGCGTTGTCAAGCGCTTTCGACAATAACTCAAATTGCGACTGGGTCCTCTCTGATGCCTCAGTTGATCCCAATTCATCAACCGCAAGGTTTAGGGAAAGTTTGATTTGGCAAAAAGGTAGCGTAAATTCATTTGCCAATTCTAAAACTTGCTCAAATGATTTCTGGCCACCACCACTATGAGGTACTAGCAGCTTCGTGGTCCAGGTTTCGATAAGTGCCGCTAATTTCGGGTCGGGACTTTTTAACGAAACAATTTGGCTGGCAGCGTTTGGATCGACAAGTATTAAAGATCGGAGGACTTCTAGTACCTTAGCCTCGAACTGCTTATTATCTAACGGTTGAGGAATCGACGTGTGCTGATTAAGGGAGGTCGAATACTCGGCCAACGCCCCACGGACCAACGGCATCAACTCCCTGGCATGCTCACGCCTAGCATGGTCCTGGACGATACGGAAACGATAGCAATCCTCTGAAGTCATCGTAGAACTCGGACTGCGTGGCATGATTAACATTTGCAATATCTCCTGCAAGTAGACAGAAGCAGACCCGACGGCGTTCGGCCGGGGTTGGATAGTTTGATCTTGGTTCCTAGGAGCGGTTGCGAACAATATTGCGAGAGGTAAACAGCCCGAGCTCATTAGAGGTGGAAATAGCTGATCGATGTGTGGCCTGTTCGTTAGCTTGCGAATGTGCTGAATCCATCCCCTCATAAGTTCGCTGAAATGTTGAATGTCAAATACACGAAGTCTGGTAAGAAGGATGCAACAAAGTCGCTGACGCTCATCCGCTTTACCCCAGTACACTTGTAGCTTCTTGATGATTGCATAGAACAACCGCTCCATTGTCGGCCTATCAGCACTGGTGTAGCTAGCAAGCTTCTCTATTTGCTCGCTTAGCTCTGTTTCGGCGTCTTGAAGTTGGGTAGCCATGTTGTCAGATAACGGTGACGAGGCATCTGCAGCACTACTACGGTCTATACGTATCAGATCGTTCTGTAGCTGAGTCGCCACATCTTCTAAGCCGGGTAGGTGAGGTACTAGATAAGCAAGAGAAGCTAGAAGCGGACGGGCGCCGACACCTTGCTCTTCCATGATGGTTTTGAGTCGTTCGTAGAGAATTTGGAAGAGTGGCTTAGCTGCTCCAGTTGCGGTGAATACTGGCAAATGAAGATTGATGGTATCGGCACAGAGTGCGAGAAGCTCTGGATTCGAGTATGTCGCTGTTAGCTTCAAGACATCTTCGAGCATAGTATAATCCTCGGCGGCTTCGAGAAGAGTCCGAACCATCTCAAACGTGTTCTTGGGTAGTTCAACACCGCCTTTGCCCGATTGCGAATTCTGGACGACGTTGCTAATGAAGTCACTGCAGAGCCATGAGGAAATAGTCGTCTTTAGAGATCGGCTGCTTAACTTGATACGCTTCGATAGCTTGTCTAGACTCATGGGCATCTTCTGTAGGAGCGGATCTTCGGGTCCTAGTGGAACAGAGAGCATGCTTTTGATGCAACTGATAGCCATTGCCATATCCTGGGCCTCATCATCGACCGAATACGACGCCCTTCGCAGTAAGGTTGCCCTCACATTTTTCATGGACTCGTTTAGAGAATGGAGTGGAATCTCAACAAGTAACCTCGTGAAACATGGCCCGTCACGTGCTGCTTCGAAGGCAAAAGAAAGTCCACCGCGGGATATAAGCCATTGGATATACTGAGGAACTGAGAAGTGGCCAGAGCGAACGAGTTCCGACACGAGATGGTACACAAGCTGCTTTCGGGCGGTTTCTTCAAGCGAGTCGGTATCCAGAAAGTCCAGTATGGCTCTAGTGACATCGACATCCAATGCAGTCGACGAACGCAGAAGCGTTGTGGCAATGTACACTTTCGCAATCCCAGGTCGATACAGCGAGGTACACCATTCAAGAATCGTTCTGACTATCGGCAACTTGTTATCGCTCGTTTTCCAAAGTCGCTTTGGAATATCCATGTCGAGAGGCGTTCGATGTATGCTGTCAAGTAGCTGTACCACTATGCTGCGGAGAGCAGGTTGCGATTTGGCATTGGAACTAGTTAAATAGTCATTACGCAAATCGATTGACTTAAACGCTCTTGATCTGGCTTCGTTGTTACTAGATCTAGGGGGCTCGGCTAAAGAGTCGCGAAACTTGTACCAAGCCCCAGGATTAATGAAATTCTCTGGGCAAACAAGAAGTAACGACTCTACTAGCGACTGCAATCGTGTGGCAAGAGGGAGTAAAATATCGCGATCGGGATGATGGTAGATCTGCTCATTGAGTTAATTGACTGAGGTTAAGAGATGTCACTGGGGGCATACAGAAGAGTGATGAGACAAAATGGCGCTGACTAAACGTCGTCCATGTCTCCTTAATTTGAGAAGATCTTTCCAGTATATTTGGATAATTAAAAGCCACATGGGAAGCTTGGCCTGATTACTATTTTCCAAGCCAGAGACCAGCCAGTCCATATAATGGTCGCGGTCCAAAAGATGTTCGGCGTAAAGATGAGTAGCCAGGCGGATGCTACAAGCGGTTAGCATGAATATCATTCTACAAGATAGCACCGTCAACTTACGCATATGTAACTTTGGCCTTCCAATCATCTTCACTGAAAGCATTACAGATGGCCTCGACGAACTGTTCGACAAACACGGTCCAGTCTCTAATCCATTTGGCTTCTCCGCCCATAACAAAGATGCCATTTGCCCCCTTTCTCTTAAATGCTCGTATCTCGTTTGCGCCAACACACTTTGCAAGCCAAACAGCACGTTCTGTGGGAACGTTCTTATTTAAGCACTGCTCAAGCAAGACCTTCCCGCGAATACCGTGGGGGATAGTTCGACTCAAACGTCTGAGTGAGATAACTGGATTAGCAAGGTCCTTGAGCCATATCTCTCTTTTCGTGTCGGTTAGCGTAACTCGAGGCGGAGGTTTGAAGGTAGAAGCCGAAGTGATCTGGCCATTGTGCCTCCTCTGATTGAGGATGCTGGTAAAAACGGTGGATAACGTGTGAAGGCCAGTCTTATGTTTTAGCGCAGGAAACAATGAAGCCTTGGCTGACGCAGGCTCCTGCGTAGATTGCGCCGGTGCCTTGTCGAAGTATCCATGCCTAATAATATTATCAGAAAACTGATCCTCAGGATGTGATCCGTTCCAACGATAGAAATCAGCGACTCCTGTACATGGGTCAGTACACGCACGAGCGGGCACATCCTTAGTTCTAGTTTTACCGGTGGACTCCGACTTGCCCGTGTTAGGGTAGCGAGCAGCAATCGACGGCGGATCGAGGACGAAGGGCTTCGGCCGGGTGTCCTTCTTAAGAGGCGTACTGATACTCGAGGGTTCTGACCGTTTAACGGGTACAACGAATCGAATTCGACGAGGCGGCATGGGCAGGGGAACCGAATCATCATCGGCCGTTTGGCATCTCGATGTTCGGGGAGTTAGATCGCCAGCATCAGATGCATCATTCATCGACATCATCCGCGACGGGGTAAAGACCTTGTTGGCGGATAGGGTATCCAAGTTTTGCGGGGATTCGCTGAAGCCGGGATGCTCGATGCCATCATTGGCGAGCTCGAGCTTGAGCCTCGACCCTCCCCTTCTTGGGATTATATTAAATCTATTTTGTGCGACATCGCCCGCATCAATAGACTGCTCATTAAAGCTCTCCGATTTCCGTATAGGGGACGGGGGTAAATATTGTTGCGAGAGGGATCGCTGGTGAGTAGGGGACTGCGACAACCCCGAGCCGCTTAGTGTTCTCTGAGGCTGTCGCTGAGGGACGGCCATAGGGGGCCTGGAGGTCATCGCGGGCGAGCGATGCGTTGATGCGCCATGTCTTCACGTAGTCGAAATGAGCGTTACGTACGCGGTAGAATTGTGGATTGCGGATTGCGGATTGCGGATTGTGGATTGCGTATTGCGTATTGCGTATTGTGCACTGCGTATTGAGGATTGCGGGTTGCGGATTGGAGGAAAGCGAATTCGAGTCTAGGGATGCGATACAGCGAGGCTTGGATGCAATCGACGATACCTCGGAGGAGGCCAGTAGGAATGAAAGTGAGGCCAAAAGAGGGAAAACAAACAAGTCGAAGGAAGCCTCGTGTGTACAGCGGAATTTAACATGTGTGTTGTATAGATGTGGTAAGATGTTGTTAAGCTAAAAAAGAGGGTGTTTCTATGATTACACACACACAGTTTCCGCCTCACACGTCCGTAGCGGCGATACGGTGGTAGCGGCCAAGGTAAATCGGGGTTGCGGTAAGAATGCGTAGTGGCCCAAAGACGGGACTGGAGGTATGTATGTAGTACCTACCTAGGATGGAAGCAACCCAGGTAACCAAAGGTACCTTGGGTACTATGTAAGTATAGGTAAGCTGGTGGCCAGTAGCCAGTATATAGTAGCCAGTAACCAGCCAGTACCTAACTAGTGTATTGACCGCATCTGGGAATCTGAACCAGTGAGAGCTAGAGGAAGGCATGCAAGCGGGTCCTAGGGCGGGTTCGTAATAGACCTTTGGGTCTGGCTGCTTAACGTGCTGCTTAATTGCTGCTTAGATTCTGGTTTGGCATGATCTGCGTGGCAGGGGGTGGAGATCAAATGGGTAGGATCGGAAGCGCGGGAAAATATGCGAACTGACACCATCGCACCTGCGCTTCTGCTTCCTAAGCTTTTACATAGTACCTACCTATCTCACAATACCCCTTCCGTTTACCCTTAATACCTGACCGGGCACCTACCAATAATAATAATGAACCTAACAAATATAAATGAAAGAACGTATTGATAATAGTAACATCTTAAGTACCTTGGGTAGATTATATAATTGTATTGTTAGGTATATTTTACGTAACACGTACCCTTTCCACAACATATCACGGTATCAACCTAGATTCGCCAGACTCAAGCGACATTTAAAAATACCTAGGTACACATGTATCTATGTACCTAATCCAACGTTTAGTAGGTACCTACTTACATAAACATATCCGGATATCATGATACACAGTACATATATCAATACGATTGAATACTTGGCACGCTATCTCAGCTTAGCCAAGCCTCAAAACCCTTAACTTACCACTACCTACACTATGTACACTACCTAAACAACCGTACTAATCCAAATTCATGACCAGTCCGATCTCCTAGGCGTCCACGAGGACGTTAATCGTCTCCTCCTTCTCCCCCGTAACCTACCGAACCTGCTGGATCTATCTCGCCTTACCTTGCTTAGGCTGCAAGGCACTGGGTGTAACCCGCGGCTATCGTGGCATCTGGATTACACACACGTACAGCGTATAGTAATCATCATATCACTTCCTTCCCGCGCCGCAGCGTCAGCCTTTGGTCAATAAATTGGTTGGGATGGAAGCCTGATAAGGGGGGCTTCGTTCGGAGATTCGATAGCTTCGCCCCGCGAATGTGTTCGTTGGGTAAGACGCCGAACAGCTTACACACGCAATATCCGTGATCAGCGGGATGGGGGAGCTTTCCAATTTACAAATACAGATGCAACTTACGACAGACTAGAACGGAGTTAAAGAAATCTAGCAAAGCCCAAAAAGGAATAGGGAAGGGAATTGAGAGGAGGATGGGGGCTGAACCGAGGCCCTGGACGAGCTAAATCTGCTAGTTTACCGGGCAGGCCGATCCAGATTTGGGCGACCCTATATGCAGTTTACCCCCAAACAAATGAATTGAGATGCTACTAATCGGTGCATACATACATACATACATACATACCTACCTACATACCAAATCATATGGTACGTGGGTATCGTGAGATGATGGCACGTTCTACTACCACAACGCACAACATAGCAGGTGTTGTCAAGTTGTCATGACGCCCAAAGATGCAAGCGGTAATCACAAGACAAGAAACTGCTTGATAGGCTCCTTTGTGCGCGGGAAAATAATTTCACAGTTGCGGAGTATGAATTGTTTTGATAATGAAAGTCCTTGTGTTATCAGAGACTATGTACTCCAACACCGTCTCCGGTGTTTTATTGGACTTTGGGGATTTTATTAATATTGCTCTCTCGTTTACTTTGTCCCCAAGGCCGGAGACCCTATCAGCTAACAGCCAGCCCCAGACGCAGGTCATCAATAACCCGCGTCCGGTCTTGTATCTCTGACAAATGGTTGACTGAGTCCCGGAGGCCTTTCGTAGAGAAAGCCCCGCAACCAATTGCCGCATACGAACAACAACCAAAGTCGCCGGAAGCCCATTCGGCCGTGAGTATCTGTTGTGTATCAGGTCTACAGATCCAACGCAGGATCGAATCCCTTATGTGTGACGAGTTTGCGTAGACAACTCGGATGCCATATTGGTTAGATGTAAGTACCTAAGGTAGATAGAGACGACATTGATGTAACGGAACCGAACATTAGACTATTAATTAAACGAGAGTGCCAAATGAGAAAAAAGGTAGACTTGGGTTACTATTACTCTTACTCTATTTCATTCGGTGGCTTCCTGCAAGGATAAACAAAGGAGCTCAACCAATTGTCGCCACGACAATTGTTCTCGACAAATCTATTGTTAGTATCTATTGTTAGTACGAGACGTGGTTGGATGCACGTACTTAAGAAGGCCATAGCGACCTTCGTCTTGTTCTAGAATGACTAGAATGACTAGAACGACGTTGCTCGCTTGCGTTTTCAAATACCTCAGTCTAGATGTGTTCGCATGAAATTCCCGGTTCGGAAGTTGAAAAGGCATTAACCCCTCACGGTTGACGCCCCAGGTCACTACCGAAATCTATCAGGAGAGATCACCGACGACGATCGCCTTTTGCAGATGTCTTCAGAAGCTTAGAGAGGCTGTCTGTGTGCTCGGCTCGTTGGTGCTCACCCGTACACAAAAGCCGCATATATTAAGAATCCGCGAACCGGGCTCTTGGCCAGAAATAAGCGGTTGTGCCATTGCGCGAAGCGACGCTACGCTGGTGTCGTACAAAGAAGATTGATGAGACATTGCCCAAAAGCCGAACGGGGAGCGATCTCTGGAGATGGAGTTAGGGCATCGCGATGGCACAAAAGTGCCGGCCGAAGTTACGAAGCTACTCCGCCATTTCCCGCCCCTTTACATAGATCCTCTAAGATCCTCTCAGCTTTCTTCGGTATTTGGTCTTAGCATGTACGGTGGGTAACACTGGTAATACTCAATAGGTAATACTCAATATAATGACTCGAGTCGAGTCGAGACGAGACGAGACGAGACGAGACGAGACGACATTGAATACGATATGTACAAAGGTAACCAACCCCAAGTTCGATGTTGCAACCCAGGGGGATCGATGTTTGTATGTTAATAGGTAGTAGCTACATTATGTACTTCGTACTCAAGACAGTGTGAGGTATGTTTATAGACAGTACAGCCCGACTGTGTGTAGATCTGTATGTAATCTGGCTGATCCCCGCCGTGTGGCTTCATCGCACAAAGGTGGGGAAAAAAGGCAGGAAAGCCAGGCCGCTCAAAGGGGGTTAGCGTTGAACGGCATCCTGGTCCGACCCTGCAGTACTGGATTTAGGCCTAACTGGATTGCAGCATGCATCTCAACGACATGGCATCAGCGCTCTTGCTTCTATAATAATACACATACCCAACTTACAGATAACCAACGCCGAGTTACCCGAACAATACATACATACATACCTACATACATTCGTTCCTACGAAGGAGAAGGGAAATCATGTCCACTAAGAAGGATATGCGACGGCCGGACCTGGGTAAGAAAGCTCTCTCTCATCCGCGCATCACACATCACACCGCATCGCATCGCATCGCATCGCATAGCATCGTGTCGCGTCGCATTAGCTAACACATCCCCCCCCCCCCATCACAGTCGTCCCGTACCAGGAGCCCGCCCCCAAGTCCGGCGATAGCGCCGAAATCTCCTCGACCCTCTCATCCACACTCCCCATGGCCGCCATCTTTACGCGGAACAGGTATATCGGTTGGGCCTCGGTCGTCATCAGCATCCAGAACTGGCTCGGCGAGAGCGAGGAGACCAGCAAGAGCAGTGCCAGCACTCCCGGCTACTTCACCATTGGCATGTCAGGTAAGCCGCCCTTTTCTGCTAACGCCCCGATCTGTTATCCCCTCCCGTCTAATAAGTAAATAAGCCATGGCCCTCGCCGTAACCTACCTCCCCTTGTTTCTCCCGCCGCCGCCGAACCAAGCCACCAGCACCGGGCCCGCAGCCCCGGCCGCTGCTTAGGGATATCTGGGAACATGAGATCCACGAAAACAAGCTAAACAGGCCTTCCTACTTACACGTAAGAAGAGGGGCCGTGGCAGGAATAGGAAACCCCCCAAAAAGACCCGAGAGAATAATTGTAAGACCATCTAAGGAGGCGGGATAATGTAGTAATTCACTTAAACCCAAGAGACATGTGGCCGCGCCGAGGTTTCACTCCAGAGCCAGATTACGGGAGAAGGGATGATTTAGTACCCAAGCCCCGGGATCCGGGTCTTGTAAATATATCAATATATAAATACCTAGGAGTATAAAATTGGTCCTAGAATCAATTGCAAATCATTTGAAGGAAACAGTTACGGCCGCAACAACGGACAATTGGCAACTCTTTCGAAGATCGTAACCGGCTCGTTTAGACCTACCTCGATTACATCTTTCGCGTGTAAGTACCGATGTAAGTGAGAAAGGTAATCTCATAAGCATATTATATAGGTAGGCAAGCACCTATATATATATATATAGCAATAGAGCACAACGCGCGGAAATACAATGGTATTTATTCATTTGTTTCTTAGACTTGTTATACAGCCTCACCCTGCCTTGCCTACGACAAGCTATACCAATCCAGATAACAGCAGTTAAGCGAGAAGAGGAAACGACCGGACCTAGACTAAACAGTGACGAAATATGAGATTTTACTCAAAAACAACGCTCCTGCTAAAAGCTCCTTTGCTATTATAGATCCACGGCGCAAATTTCAAGGTTCAATCATGCACTCAGGTTGATACAACACACGGATATGGAGAGGAGCCAACCACCTAAGAGGTAGTCAAGCAAAGCTTTAAGATGATTATCTTAACCAAGCACCTATTGTACTCATTCCCTTCCCTTTACCCCCTGACCCCCTGCCTCATCCCCATCACCCCGTGCCTCCTCCGCTAGAAGAGAACAAATTATTCGTTAGACAATTAAGTTGACTGTAGCGTATTACACTGAACCGTATTCTCGTAAAAGGCGGACGAGGACCTCGCATCCTGTACAGACACACTCTCGCTGCTTTCTCAGGTCCAGTTCTTATCTCAGGCTGATCCTTACGTATGCACCTCTTTTAATGCTCTACTCCCAAACTTAATCCTCATCAAAGATCTGGTAGGTATTCTGTAATATCGTATCAACAACTCTGACCTGCCATCCTGCGTCCTGGATATTTGCTCCTGGTGCCGTGCCCATGAGCGTTGGCCCAAAGACAATGGCCAAATTCTGCGAGTTCATGCGATTGACGGCCGACTGCTCGATGACGCGGTGTAGGTGGAGTGTCAGCGCCCTTAGCGTAGCGTAGTTCGGGTCCGGCAGCGCGTTGATAATGGCGTGTAGGCTGTCCCGCCGTACCACCTCATCGTCGTTCTTAGCCGCCTCGATGAACCCCGCGTAATGCTCCGATGTCAGCAGTGGATCCGGCAGGTCTCGCAAAAACTGTTTCAGTAAGCCTGCCACACTGTTCACGTCATGGAAGAAGTTCTCCGGATTCCGGAAGTCTAGTATTGGCGCGTCTTCGTCTGTTTTTTCTAAGTTAGCTCTCGCTGTCGCTTCGCGGGAGGGAAGGGGGACGAACTGGTATCAAACAAGTGTTTTAACTTATTCACGTGCGCTGACGAGCCGGAAAGCCTGTAGATACCCTCGACAGCAAGTCCGTACAAGTCAACGGCCTGGATACACTGGTAGACGACCATCGGTACGGGTCCTTTACTATTTTCGTATAACCGTTCTAGGGAAATCCCAAAAACCGGACCTCTTGATATTGCTCCCTCTGTCTTCGGTATAGCAGCACCATGAGGCGAAGTTGATCGTGGCGGGGACTGTTCACTACGCGGCGGGGCCTGGAAACCTACTTGCCCACCTTGTTGTTGAGGGCTTTGCTCTCGAGGCGGCTGGCTCTGGAACGATAAGGCTCCAAGCTGTGGAGCGCCACCCATGCCACCACCATTGAATCGTGACTGGGTCGGAGGGGCTTGTATCGAGTTCCGTACATTATACTGCGGCTGAGGCTGCATACTAGGCTGATTTAACATTGCACCATGGCTGAAGCTCCTCTCATGTCCTGCTCCTGAAGGCGGCCGTTGGGCTGATGTCAGTCCAGGGGGAGGGGTGAAATTCTGAGCCGGTCCTTGGAACCCAGTCGGTGACGATATGGAATCGAAGCCTCCAGTTCGAGAACCCATTGAACCTGGTTGCTGTTGCACTTGCGAAGGTGACCCTTGTCGCTGCTGAGACTGCGGCCGTGCTTGTTGCTGATGCACATGTGTCACCTGATTCAGGGACACATTTTGCTGAGGGTTAAGAACCTGGCTTAAGTTAGCATCGAGCATGGCTCGAAAGTCAGATAGCCGACGACGTACGGGATTCCTCTCGTATTTCGGCTCTGATAATTTGGCCGGAACTTTGCTATGAACGCTAATAAGATAGTTCTCCAGGTCCTTCTTGTTGTCGATGGCCTGGACAACTTCTTTTAGACTGCGACAGTGCTGACCTGGTTGAGTAGCGGTCCTCAGAGGACTTATCACCAACCCGTTACTGAGTAATAGCTTTTCGTTGAATGAAGCTAATACGCTGTTAATACCATATGTCAAACTTTGTCTCTACGCTCGCATCTACTTACCAAACTTCTGCATTTGCAGGGTAGTGCCAGAGTCGCATTCTCTAATGAGATCTTGTAGCGCCTTGACAGCTTCTGGACGGGTTGAGGTCTCGACGGTTGCTTTTTCCGACTGGTATGCCTGAACTTTGCTCATATAATCCGTGTCGGCTGCTTGGACCTTGCGTAGGAGATCCTCTTCGTGCTGTGCTGCTGATTTGGGTTTGATACCGAAGACCCTTGGTCCTTGTTTTGCTTCGCCGGTTCTCACCCTATCATACTCTTCGGCCAGCGAATCGTATTTCATCTTGGACTTGCGCATTGCGTTCTCCACATCAGTCAGACGTTGTTCGGCGGCTAAGCCGTTCTGCTTCCATCCTTTGCGGTGTTTCTCGGCCACCGCAGCTACTTCAAGAAGATCTTCATGCATTTGGTGTAGAGATAACGCAAACTGTATTCCGTTCTCGGCCATGCGTTCGTGTATCGTGAGCATTTCCTCGTATGACTGCGCGAACGACCCTTGCCTATGATCTGTGTGGTGGATGCTGTCCTGAGTCGATTTACACAGCTTTTTCAGGCCCTTAGCATGTTGGTCTTCGAGGTCCGATCGCTTCTTGAGAAATGTTGCAAATTCCTATAAGACACAAGCGATTAGAAACCCGGCGAGAATAGTTATAGAGCGTATTATCGAAAATAACTAACCTTAGCAGCTATAATGCTTTGCTTAAGCCTATTTAGCATAGTGGAAACACCAATCTGCGCGAAATCAGCCATGTCTTCCTCGGTATGTGATGCCTTGTGGGATCTATACATCTGAAGCGAGCACCTCTTGTACTTCCTTGGACATTTCCGATTCGCCCGGGCTGGGACTCATCGCAGTAGGTTCGAGCCCACCACCATTTGTTGAAAAGACGGCACCATCTTCAGGTGGTGGTGGAGTTGCGCTATTCCCTAGAGACATGCTGGCTATATGCTCAAGCTCGGGAATTTGGGGAGAGGTAAAGTCGGGAGATTGACGGCCATAGTCTGCCATGTTGGGCGAGGGCAGTCAGGAGAGATGCGACTTGGATGTGCTTTGCTACTTTATTCTCGACCCCCACAGGATCAATTAACTTTCGTCACACTATTTTAGGTATAGATCCGGGGTAGACTGTTCATGGGAAAGGTCTCAGAAAAAGCTTAGTCGTTGGTGGGAGGGTTGTGAAACGTGGGATCGGGATCGATATTCATGCGACGGTGTCAGGCATTTATCATGCAAGTAATCCGTAATTATCTTTTTTTTCTCCGTCTCCTTTTTGGGTCGCAATCGAGTATCGAGTTGGTAATCAGATCGTATGAACTAGAATGTACATTTGCGTATTTTCTTTTCGTGTCTCGATTTCATGCATATGGACAACAAGGCATGCTTGAAAGTCTGTCAACTCAGTATGTAATAGTAGTGTAGGTGGTGTGGTGTGTAGAGTGGACTATTAGTGTAGCATGAAGCTCCATGTCACGATATCCACATGCAAGGTGGTTCTGCTTTGGTTCTGCTTTAGCCTTTAGCCGCCCCCTTCCCCCCCATAGAAGCAGGCACAGAAACCTTTGTGGCTTAGCAGAGCAAACTACGTAATTCCACTGGGCACAGTGCCAAAAGCATAGTTGGGTGCTAAGGTGCTAACTTAGGTAGCGCTGCGGATACAAGCGAAATACTAGCTGCCGCAAGCCCTGATTGGCCGCCTAACCTTTTACGCTTTCCAGCGGTAAACCGCGCCTTGGCCCGCAATTCCCCCATCGGATGGTTGGGTCCATATGTCGTACTCGGATAGTCGGAATAACTGCCAATTCTCGTATATGTAGGTTACCTTATATAAAGTTATACATTATACTCGTATTATTACATGTAAGTGACAAGTCAATCTTGCAGAGTCTATTTAGTTAAATATGCAAGTAGAAGAAACAAAATATTTATAGCAAACAGTTTAATACATTTGAAGAAACGACATTGCTATGAAACCCAACATCTAGCCTTTCGGAGGGGATGCTAGACAAGATAAGCATAGCTTACCATTCTTGAATATTGGTAATAAAAAAAATACGTGTTGAATTAGAGCCTAGGTATAATATTAGTTTCACGTCGCCACCTCTAGATGGACCAGAAGACACAGATAATTTTATCTTGCATTTATGTATCTCTTATTCCTTGCTGCTATACTATATGTACAGTTCTAGCAACATTTGGTAGCAACAGCTCCTCGTATGTATACCTACCTACTAAGTCCTGATGCCATAGCGCCTAAATAGAAGAAAACGACATTTCTGTTTCCGAATGGGTATAGAATATGCGTCCGTCAATACGTGGTATCATTTCCATTTATTAGAACAGAAGAAAAAAAAACAAACTGTTCCTCCCAGCCTGCGTTATGACCGTTGCCTAGCGTCGTAAATTGTTGCCGTTATCATCCAGAATCAGAAATCCACCTTGATCTTGTAATCTACCACAGACCAACCACAGAAACACACTCTTTCACCTGATAAAGGAAATTGATTTGCAATGATGAATGCAGTTGGGGGAAAGGGGCCACATCGTAGCCATTGGATCACCTCAAATTAAAACGCCGGGAATATGCGGGATATCAAGGAAATAATTGGAAATGTTGAGGTACGTCTCAAGTAAGAATGCAAAGAGCACAAGGAAGCTTTTGCAATTCACTTCTTAGGAAAGGCAGCAGGACGTGTAGTTTATCGCCAGATTGGCGAGTTACGATAAGCAGGAGAGTGATAGGAATGGAGAACCCGATAAGGCATGGGGTTACCTTGCTGATCTATGCTCTGGTGCCTAGTATGATGTCGAGGGGGGGGTGTAGGATGCTGTATAGGCTGATGCCATTGTTGGTCCAATTGTTGCGGTAGTGACATCGACCGGCCACTCCAAGGATCTGAGACGTATATCTGTCCGTTACGAGATAGTGATGGGTAGGGGCCGTTATCCCGAGCACAGCTGTCTTGCGGCACGATATTATACTCGTCATAACTGGGCTGACGACGCAATGGTAGATTGGGTTGCGAATGGTGTGGCTGCCGGAAGAAGACTGGCCCGGCAGTTGCAGCACTTCGTTGGCTCGACTGACTAGCAAGAGAGCTTCGGCGGCTATAATCGGATGATCGTCGAGAAAGGGAAGGACCATGGTCTATCTGGACATCCCAGCTGGGCGCCTGATTCGCCACTTCCGGTCTGACGTTTATGGGCTGAACACCGTTTAGTGCAGGCAGAGAAGAAGACTTATCGATGTAATGACGAGCTTGGCTGGGAGGGTAATTTTGAAAATTCTCCCGACTCGATCTTCTGGGCACTGTAGTCTGATTTGCCGCAAAAGTGCCGCTCACGTCGGGGGTCGTCAAATTACCTTCTCGGCTCCCCTTACGAGAGTAGGGAGTTCGTCCTGGCCGACCCATGTTTTCTGGAGGAGTTGACTTTGACCTCACAGGTGGAATTCGTAAAGTACCCATATTCCGAGTCCTCATACTAACGGGCGGGGGGCTTTTAGAAAATCTCGAACTTGGTACAGGTGGTGGAACTTCAAGGGATGTTGCAGAGTGCGATTTGCCTTGGGCGAATTCATAACTACGTCTAGCATTTATCATCCTCGATCCCTCTTCCATATGACCCACCAACGTACTTGAGCTAGGCTGTCGCGGAATGTATGTAGACGTCCTGTCGTTTGATGCAGAAATATTAGTAGAATTGTTAGGGTCCCTATTGGTTGTTCTAGGTGATGCAACTTGAACGAGTTTATTTTCCGGAGATGTTTTGATGATTGTAGGCGGCTTAGGGGATGTATCATAACTTCGAGCAGGTACAGGTTTACGGCGGACCGACTTCTGTAATAAGGCGGATGAATTGTTCGTCGCCTTCGATTCGAGAGAAAGTGGTGTCCCTTGATTCCGACCTGGAGCTATTATTTGACCGCCTAAGGTCTTCGGAGAGAGATCTTCATCCTGGAGTAGCTCTGCACTTCCAACACTTAGGATTGTTCCCAGCGTCTCCTTGCTAGCTGCAGACCTTAGAGCCAATTTCCTGAACGAAATCGGTCTTGACCTAGCGTGTATCTGAAGCTTTGCATGCATATCCCTAGAGACAGCAGGAACACGTGCATACCCAACAGGATGCGTATTATGGGCAGCGAGCGGTGCCCGACTTCCACTTAAAAATCTCTGCAGCTTTCCGGGCTTGCGGAAACCAGTGGTGGTGCTTCGACTAGGACTAGATGTAGGTGGACTACGTAGAGACGACCGGTAAGTTTCAATGCTGCGGCTGGGATGATTCCACGTATTGCGTGGTGGCAAGGTTCTCTCCGGAGCCTGAGTAGGCTGCGAAATGCCTTCTGATCTAGGGGCTTGCTGAAATCGTGGCGATTGTTCGCCCGGCGTCTTGGGACTAGTAGGAGCAACAAGATGAGGGTCTTTCATAGGTACCGGCGGAGGGGGTGGTTCCTTAGAAGACTCAAAAACGTCAACGCTAGCTGTCGCGACAATAGGGCTCGTAGCCTCTAATTCTCCAGCACGTCTGCTTTGTTTCACACTAGTATCGCTCATAACCTCAATAGTACGGTCTTTTTCGGGAGCCTGTGGCCTTGAAGAAAACGACCGTAGTGAAACACTTGAGCTGTAGCCTGAGTCTGCCTTGGATAAAGGCGCGGCCGAGTACTCCGAAGCAGGGCTCGCAATGCCACTATCTGACCTACTGATCTCCTTGGAGCTCCTCCCTTCCGCCGCTGGCTTCGCGCGAGGTGGCATAGACTTCGCGTTTGTGTCAACTCGTACATCTAGAACCTCGACTGACGAATACTCGCCCTGATCGTCGTCCTCGAATAGTCTATCCTCTATAGCTGTATTCTTGCTAGTTACGTATATATCCGGGATAATCAACTCCCCACCCTTAAGCGTTGGTGGGCTTATCTGATACTCGCCTGGAAGCTCGGAGAGCCTCTGAGACAATATAGGGCGTGCAGAGGTTACTCCTTCAGCATTGGAGTTGATTTGAATTTCAACTTTTGGGACTGAAATCTCGGAGCTTTGGGTCTCAATGTGGTTGGTTGGAGCTGCTTGTACCGTTCCAAAATAATCTTCTGCTGTATTAGTAACTGCTAATATCCCGGTATCTCCGTATTTGGTATCACCGTCAAGATCTCGAATAGAACTCCTTGCCGGGCTCCTTGCTGGACTGCCATTTGTAATTCGGAGAGTGCCATGCTTAAAGGCGCCTGTCTGTGTATATTCCGCCTCACAAGGGGTAAGTGCACGGGGTACAGGCTCTAGATTGGTTAATTGATGAGGCAAACTAATTGTACCAATACCCGTTGACTCCATGGACTCTCGACGCGCTGGGGTAGAGGGGACGCTGTATCTTGTTTTCGGCTTTGGAAGGTCCGAGTCCATTCGCACTTCACGAGTAGCAACGCCAGGAGTCATAAAAGACCTCCGTCGCATAGGAGTATATAAAGACAGGTCAGAATTACTTGGAGTTCTTGACGGAGGCGTATCATGAATTGACGGTCGTCGTCCCCTGAAGTCGCCCCGCATCGCTTCGGAAACGTGTATTCGATTCTCCAAACTAGCCAAATGGTCTTCGCGAGGCGTTTCGCTAACGATATTTGACAAGCGTTGGGCCTCGTAAGAGAAAAGGTCATAATTAAACGAAGTTCGTGACGTGTTCTTAGACAAGCTCCTGACGATGGCATTTAGCTCATACCTCTATAATGAAAAACAAGCATCACAACTTACACTTGGACAGGAGCTTGGCCATAGTTATAGCCTTCATCGAATCCATTCCCTAAAGAACCTATCCTGTTTGACCAACGATCTTGCGGAAGGTCCGGTACCTCGACACTGTTACTTCTCCGGTGATGTCTGGGCACGTCTTTGGAGGTGTTGGAACGGAATAGTCTTCTCGAAATACGATGTCCTAAATCTAGCCCTTTCTCGCCACTTGACACGCTTACAGATACGATAGGATCCTTTTCGGGGAGCATCGGCGGGGTTGCAGATATAGGAGCGTGGGGGAGCGAGGCACGTCTCGCTGCCGGGGAATGGCGCGGCGGATTTGAGGCGCCATTGTTATTCAACAGGCCAGCTGCGGTAGGATTACTTGTCTTAGGTTTCGATAATTTCTGAGATGCTCGGTGACCCTTCCACGGAGCTTCGGCGGAGATCGAATTCCCCATGATGTTGGGTGAGGGCAAAGCCGAAAGGCCAGCGCGGTACTAGTATTAGGCAAGCATTGACAATTCCATGCCAGTAGCTTCAACAGAGTGTTAGCATTAGCAATTAACGAACCACGCCAATCTCACATAAAAGGGAATAGACAAGCTCGGATCCAGAACGGGCACGGTTCAAGAATTGAGAATGAAGGAAGCTCTAAGGCAGGTATCATAAAGCGTATTATAAAGCAGCATGGGTTACGCTCTGAGATCCAAGGTCACATCACATATATGGATGGATAAGATGTTATTGATCTAGATGGTGAGCTGGGGGGTTGGGAAAGGTGCGGGATGATGGTTTAATAGGAAATGATTAATAGGAAATACACAACACCCCGGTCCTGTTTATCTCGGTCCGTACGCGGTGTGTATCTTAAGAAGACGAATATATTGACTGACCGAGTTATCTGAGCTACACACTGGGACGGAACGAATGCGGCGGGATTAGTCAAGATGCTGCTTTATTCACATATATCTCGTAGGAGATAGATCTGCGCCCATGACTACATATATTATGTAGGGGATGTGAAACAAATAAAGCAGACAAAGGAGAAAAGAGTATTATGTGCAGGATTTGGTGTAGAGGTTTGCGTAGACTTACATATAAGTTTATCTTGGGTAGGTAGGTAGCTATGGTTATGTTACATGTAGGTATGTAGTATGTATCTATGTTGTATGCATATATGTACGAAGTACGGCGGAGTTGAGTAAAAGATAGAGCAACAGAGAGATGCATCCATGAACTATGACTGGGAATATAGAAGTTATTGGTAGTTATTGGTAGTTATTGGTCTAGGATTAAAGTGTGAGATGCGGGTCTTAGAAGCCTTGACGCAGAAGAAACCTGAATTTAGAACATGATCTTGACTGAGTTTAATGGAGACATCGAGATCTAGAAAATTAAGACGAGACTTGTATATTACTTATGTTACTTATGCTACTTCAGCGCGGCAACTGAGACCGCTTAACTTTCCCATGCTAAAAAAAAAATATGGGAACTATGGGAAGCCACGGAAATTGGCATTCTAGATTTCTAGTAAGGTAAGAAGGCACAGAAGTACATATGCTGTACGCATTTAGCAGCCGTCTTTAGAGTATTACACAAAGTACATATGTACAATACCTACATATATGCCCCGCCAACCGGCTGCTCCCTGCATCTGTCTGATCTTCACACCCCTGCAATCTCCATTCCTGCACCGATTGGAGGCCGGAATTGACCTAAGTTAGGAAAGCTAGACACACTTACACTATCGACTTGTCAACAAGCAGCTAAGGCATCCCCGAATTTTATTATTTGACCACTACATACATGAAGTACATATGTATGTACTTTAAACTCTAAGCTGCATTAGGTAGGCAAGGATCATGGAACTTTTATAGCTAAGGCTCGAACTACATAAGGTAGTATAACTTGAAATATTCAAACACCATACCTGATTAATTCAATTATACTATCCTAGCCTAAACCGAGCTATCCGTCCGAAGATATCACAAAGACAGCTATATGCTATTACCGATAGCTTACATATCATTGCTCGCGTATACAAGACAATGGATTCAGTATCATTTCGCATGAACCCATCCTCTTATATAGTACGGTACAGTTCTTTTCTTCTTCTAACTATCAGATATGTATCAACCATATGTATACTAACTACTGAATACGGGAAGTCCTTCGTTAAGCTATATACTTCACCCCATGACTTGAGGCTACTATACCTTATTTCCTCCCGTTGTCTCCGATATCCGAGGTCTTGCAAGGATAGGAGTGAAGTTCAACACCTCAATGTTATGTAACACTTACATGCGATATGTTCTCACTTACACATAGAACATCAACTCACATCTACATTAAGTCAAACCCCCGGGATTCTGGTTGCCGATACCCGTCATGCTCTCGTCACAAACATACGCGTTTCGGCCTGATCTTTTTTTCTTATATCCACATATACACATACCTATCATGTATGTATGATTTCCATATAGAGCAATGTTAAGCTTCGATAACACAAGTACGGCTGATGTTGCATTTTGCGGAGCGGGACCAAGACCAGCCACAAAGACCGGGGGAACAAGATTACAGGGTTATGCTAGCAATTCTCCAGGATTACCGCTCCAAACGCTCCGGCCCTGTCTTCTGTTCTCTGTTCTCTGTTTTCTGTTCTCTTGAGCCGGCGCTTCAAATCTCAAATATCCAACTAACTAACCTACCAAATTCCTCGACCAAAGGAATACTTCCTCTTCCTGGCACTTCCGACATTGCTCCCCACACGTTTTAATATTAAGTAATCCTTTAGAAGCCGCCAACAACATGGAGGACGTCACTTGCGAAAGAGCCTCGTACATAGTACATAGCGTCGGATTTAACACACGCGCCGCATTATTTACAGAAATACAGAAACACGTTAAATCCTCTCCAATCAAATATACCGGTAGTCTAGGTACAGTATGTAGTATGCTTGCGCCAATGAGATGAAAGAGGGATCGGTTCCGCAACGTCGTAATCGTAAATATTTACCTCCCTCCCCCACTTGATCCTATTCAGAATTTACAAACGTCGCGAAACCTTGATTCGGTGTTGACCTCCCGAAACTTCTGTTCTTGCCTGACCACCCACATAGGACATATGCAGGTTATTTTGGTGACAGCGAATCTTCCCTTTTCACCGCCTTATTGTACAACGGTCAGCTGTTTCATGTATGCGGTTGACGTTTGCTAATACTGACGCAAAAATGAAGTTTCCCATCTTAGTTATCCCCTTTCTCCGATGGCGGTCAAGAATTCCCAGGCCACTACATATCAATATTAACTACCTAACCTAGGTAGCATGAATCGATTTAAGTTCTAACGTTTCCCTACATTCGAGATAGGGAGAGCTGTATCAAAGACATCTATGACACTATTAGCAATATAACTACAGAGCGTACGATTAAACTTTTGATACCCTTGGTGCAGATCGCTGATCAGCGTGCTACTGGAAGACGGGATGTCCCATTAGACTGCAGTGCGACTTCATTCATAATAATTCGCCATCATTCGTTCTTTGTCGTCGTGCTACCGCATGCTCTATGCAGACTTCTTACGCAAGCTTCAATTAAGCCCCACGACAGAAGAATGCGGCTGATTTAATTTGTTCATTTGGACTGGGCGGACAAGCCGAAGTCGTACGGACGTATTAATATGAGAATGCTTCATTTAAACTTATCTTCATGGCTAACATGTGGACAAAGTGATTTTTACCTAATATATATTTGAGATATTTTAACAGTATGGCCGATATACCCGCTTATTATTTCTGACGACGCTTCTCAACATACCAATGCACGACGATAACCTCAAATGCAAACTTCGTGCAAGTATGACCGTTGCCCCGCTGCTCATCAGCGGGCATCGAACTGCAGCTTCCGATAGGGGTTGGGAGATGTTCCAAGCCGCCCGGCGCCGTGGCTGACGCCCGCCCCGTGGTGTAACCGATACCCTCACGGTTTCTGATAGGTATAGATTTGAGGACTCGTCAGCTTCCCGGAATGTTGTGATACAGGCGGGCACAAGATCGATATTACACGACATCTCGCCGCAACTTGCTAGCAAGTATTCTATCTACAGTTTGCTTAGTTCGTGTGGTTGTACATTCGAATAATAGGGTGAAAGGGTAAAAGACTTCAGCTGATTATGTGCCATCTTAAACTATTGACGCTTGTCTAACTTGAACCTTAGTGATAATCGTACTTAACTAGCGATCTAAGACTATCAGTCTGCCGACCGACTTGTTATCTCTCTATGGTGTCTACCGGTGGTGGCGACATCATCCGAGATGCCGTTTCTGAGGTCATCGCCACTATCCGGGTCGCCGTCTGTGACAAATACCTGCGCGTGGCCACTTAAGAAGGAATACCAAATACCGGCATGGCCGATCCGATAAAGTAATCATCAGTTATGAACTTATTTGAGTGGGGTATCAATTCGCTATATCATTCCTCTTTCAAGATGGTAAGACTAGATTGGACCACTGGCCTCCGAAGGGCTATACGGAGCTCCGAATCCGTCTAGCAAGCACTGGAGATTTTGATCATCCACCGTACCAAATCCCGAAGAGTGTCAAGGTAATGGCCGATTTCCATAGGTTTCCGAGGATAGGAGCCCCAAACTAGACTTGGTTTTACGAGAGGCCTGGATTGAATATTGTCATTGTCCCTTAATTTGTGCGTGCCTCACATGATGTTTAAACATGTAAGACTATAAAAACTCTTATTCTCACTTAGGCTGAGGTCGATAATGTAATTTCTGCCGCGCATGTTATAACAAAGCTCCAGCAAGCCACTGCTCTGTGTCGGTATTCTAGAAGCGCAGTCTTTTCCCCTATCATTAGACGATTAGGAAAATGTTATAAATCCAGGTATTCCTCTAACATTTGTATATAGAGCTAGGCGCACCATCACTGTGTTTCTTTCTTGTAGGCTCATACAGGCTGATCGAATGGCTGATTCACTCATCTGCTTATGTCAAAGGGGGCATCGCATCATACAGATGGCGTTTAGAGCCACCGCCACAGTGGCCCAGACATATTGGGTGCCGAAGAATTTTGTTTCCCACAGCCGAGACTGGCATACGTCGGGGATAAAGCTTGATGTCCATAATTGATTCCATAATTGATCTTGTCCCTTGGAAAGAACTATTTGTCGCCCCTCTGTTTATTAGTTAGTATGTATCCACTCACTCGGTCGATGTTGGAATTACACGACGACCTCTACATCTGTAATATCTTACTACCCCTTATTCGGCATTGCTACTGCTCGCTAGACGAAGGTTATTCGCCAATGACGTATGTACATCCATCGTTGCCTATCCAGACCTCGTGAACTCGGCCGGCGTCGACATCAATGCGGTCGCCGACGTTGTATGTCTTCTTCTCCGGATCAGCGTCCTTTGGGTAGGTGATGGTGAGCTGGCCATCCAGGATCAGATGCGTTGTCAGGCCGGAATGAGAGTGCGGTCTGTAATAGGCATTGCTGCATAAGTAATGTGAGTTAGCACTGTCATCTAATAACCCCCTTTTTTACCCTCGTTGATGTAGGGCCTGAAACGTACGGGCCATCAGTCCAAGTGAAGACGTGAGAGAAGCCCCAGG